GGGGGGGGGGGGGGGTCCTAACCCCCCCCCCCCCTTCGATTCCTGGTCCCCTCCTGAAATTAGAATTTGACTAGCTAATCATAGTTCTAAACCCCACCAAATGGCTACCCTCTACCAGGGCGTCAGATTGATTTTCCACAGATATTTACAGACATGTCTCTAGATAAATAGACAGTCATTTTGGTCTGATATCGATTCAGCCAAAAATGTCCACAACAACAACAACTGCGACCCTGGTACAGAGGGCCCTACCAAATGGCACCGTTCGCCCTCTAAATTACCAAAAATTTTCGGGGCGCTTCAGCGAACCCCGAACCCCACGCCAAGTGGGATATGGAGGTGGGGGTGTGGGAGGGTCGGCTTCGCATCCGCGGACATCCCCCCCCCCCCCACGCCCCCCTTTTCAATAATTCAGGATCTGCCTCGTACATGTAGGCCTACCAGTGCCAGAACACGTAGGAAAGTATCATATGCATGTCCTGCTTATACTTCGAACGATTCTAACCTCAGACTCACTATACATGGTGAAAGCTAATGCACATTGAATACAGACTAATCTGGATGTGGATTGCGCAAGAACACGTTTCATTGTGAAACCTGTTGACGGCGCAGTTGGCGTTGGACAACAACACTGCAACCGGCAACATTCAACAATAACAGGGACAGTGTAACATTGTTAAATCCTCTCAGATCGAACGCTGCTTGACTGTTGCTCTAGTCGTTAGGTATGCGTCACTTCTAAATTAAAACAAGAATCCCCCTTACCTTCAAACTTTCATTCTTGTCCAGCTACTAACCCGAATACGCATCTGCGCAGATCTTGTCACATAAAAGTAGGGGAATCCCCCATGAGTCAGAGGCATGTGGACTGACCATAAATGGGAAATGTGTGGGAAGGGAGTGGTTTAGCATCAAGAAGAGGGGGTGGGGGGGGGGGCTAATGTTTACAACCAGATGTGTAATAATGCGTCATAAGTTTGGGTTTATTAAGGAGGGCAGTGGGGGGAGGGGGGGGGGTAAAGAAAGAGAGAAAGACGGCTAAAACCAGCGAATAGGTTGATAAGAAAAAGAAGAAAATGCCCACAATTAACACTGACAACAATACGTTTGTGTGGGCGTGTGGTTGTAATTGGACAATGGATTAGCACAATGCGAATGGGTTTTTAACAACCTATAGAAAAGAACTCGACTTTCGGCCCCTAGACAAAACATGCACCGCGTTTACTCAAGGCAGAATCAGAGTGCTTGACTGCAGAAAATTATGGAGACATTAGTTATATTTTTCTAAGGGTTTTCATTTACATAGATTTATTTAATTAATAAGAAATAAAATAAAATGTCAGGTTTAGCACTTTGATTCACAAGTATCAGGATTTTTTTTCAAAGAAAATTTTACCTTCATGGAAAATAAAAGATATATGATACCTTTTACATACATTGTGTCCCCTTAATTGCGTTTTCAATAAACCATACCCAACTAAAGTATTATTTTCTCCTTTTTTCGAAACAAAATGTTCAGTCTTGCCCATTACTCGATTCTAAATGTTGACATATTTTGTGCACTTCAAATTTTAAATAAAAGTACTTTATATAAAATGTTCGTCACAACATAAATAAATAAAAAAATAAAAAAATGCAACACCATTTCACAACAAATCAGGTTTATTTGTATTTCAATAATATAGCAGTGTTGCAACACATAAATGCAGCATTATCTGAGCTCAACTTGCATAAAAATAATGACAAATCTAAGTAAAAAAAAAAAAAAAACATTACAAGTAGAACTAGGCAAAAAGAGCATTTTTTGCTTTCTTGTGTCCTTCATATAATAACACTATAATTAGCCTGTTTGCTACTGGTACTTCATGCCTTCCTCATAAAGAGCTCTTATCATTGTAGAGCAAATCTGTATACATGACTTTTCACAATTTGATTCCGAGCTTGACACTGTACTGTATATATGATAAATGTTTAAGTCACAAAATGTTACACAATAACAGAATATGTTTTGACACTCAAAAATACTACATAGCCATAAATGAGAGACATAACAACAATTTTATCATATGGCAAAATCTTACCATGATAAGTAACAAATTGGACAGAATCACAATGGCTCTCACTCATTTTTTCCCTTATACTCTTAAGCCAAGACCAGTCCTGTTAGAATGGCCCCTTAAAGTTATGGCAAGAAAAAGTTAACTTTGAATCAAAATTTGACCTAGGATCTATGCCATTTTCTATGCTGGAGTAGAAGGGGTAAAAAGGCCCAATTTTTTCAGATCCCTACACCTTTTAAAATTTAATTTGTGACCACTGCTAGCTATATTTGGCAACAGGTGTGGCCTTGAAAAAATAAACCATCTTGCTGACAGTGATATATATATATGCAGTCAACCGAAGCATGTTTAACTCATTTTTAAATAGAAATTCATTTATTATATTTAAACTTTTAAATGTTTCATGAACAAAACTACAGGTGTACATATACTTATCATTTGATTCTATTAAATCTGAACTTTTTATTAAATAGAAGAGCATACACTCAACATTTGTTCGTTTATGTTTTCTAATTTTTAAGTATCACATCTGCTATTTTCACCTGTTTGTTTTTTTTTCTTAATAACATTAACACCTGTAGCAAAATTGAGATAAGACAAATGGTATATAAATTATACAAAAAATTAAACTATATTTTAAGAATTGTTTTTTGGTGGACATGATTTCTTGCTTTCTGGCCAATAGACCTTTAAAATTTTTTCTGTAAAATACCTAATAGCATTTCTTTTGTGACAATCACAGTCTCTTTAAAATGAATGAGATTTTTCAATAAATAATGCACAGTTTTTACTTGCACACTGGGTTGAAAACAAAACACCTAGATTGACACATTGAAATAAATTAAGCTTTTCTGCAACAACTACAGTTCTAGATATAATATTTATATTGAAGAGATTAACAAAAAGTAATTCATTCTCAGGTTCTATCCGTAAATATATTGTATTTAGACAGAAAGTGGGGTTTTAAAGGGATAATAACTCTTCGCTTTGGTCAAAAAATGAATTTTCCTGGAGTAAACAACAATTTTCCCATACTTGCCAATGGTTAATGAATCCATTTTTACATTCAAAGTTAGTCCCTGGTTTTTTTTTCTAAAAAGTTTGTTTTTTTGTTATAATCTCTTAAGAGATTATAACAGAGTATAGCCATCAATGGAGATCACGTGGTCTAAAGACAAGCTCAGATATCAGAATAATAGCTATAAATGCCGTTTTTTTTGGTATATCATTTTTCTATGAGTTGTTCACAGTGTTTTTATTGTGAAATATAGATCTCATACGAAGAGTTATTATCCCTTTAAGTAAACTTTAACCCGTTCAAAACCACCAGGCAGCTATATATTCCTTTAAATCAATTTCAGACAGGATGAATAAATGCAATAATTTTTCTCTTAATCTAAACACATGTGATTAATCATATTTTTCAAATATCTGTTTGTGTTACTGAGCAATGTTGTCTATTTGACAATAATATGAACTCATTATTTAACCATTGGCCTGGACATATTTGGCGGTCGGGTATGGGTTCCTGATTTCTGCTACAGGTTCCCCAACTACCTGGAATGGTTGTTTGACTTTATATCCTGGACATTTGACTATCTGATTTGTGCACCTGACTACCTGGAATGGCTACTTGGCAAATTGTCCTGTTATATGGTTACCTGTTACCTGGCACAGTTATTTGGCTATCTGTTCTGTATATTTAGCCACATGGCTTGGCTATTTGGCTATCTGGTCTATATATTTTTAGCCCCATGGCTATTTGGCTATCTGGTCCATATATATTTAGACGTATGAATTGGCTATTTGGCACTCTGGTCTAGTTTCTCGGCCTCCTGGCTTGGCTATTTGGTTATACATGGTCTGGTTATTTGTGTGGATGGCTTGGCTATTTGGCTATCTGATTAGAGTGTCTGGCTACTTGGCACTTTGGTCTGATTTTTTGACCACCTGACTTGGTTATTTGACTATAATATGGTCTGGTTGTTTGGATGCCTGGTTTGGGATCAGATAGCCAAATAGCCACTACATGTAGTTAAGTATATTGTTTGGGCTATTTGGCCGCTTTTATAGTTCTCAAGGTCATGCTTACTGGGATGTGGTCAGTCAGTAAAACCAACTGGGTCACAAAATTTAACCTGGTTACATTCTGAAAAATATAATGGAAATAAATAAATGGCTAAATAAATGAATTCATTTATGCTGTAATTTTTTTAAATAATTCTATTCATGAAACTTGATCTAGCTGATACATAATTTGTTATATCTCTAAATGCTTTATTTCTCATGCCTCAACATCTATACACTTCTTTTCAGCTTTATAAAATATCACTGTAACAGTTAAAACACCAAGAAATATTCAAATATATTACATTCTGTTTTTCAACTTTTTTATTGCAACTACCTGAATACTGCCCCTTCTGAACAGTATGTAATCCAATCTCCTCTTTCCACCTACAGTGGGCTTCAAAATAATATCACCATGTTCATCTCTCTCTGGCATCACACCAGCGTAATCCAGACTACTGACCTCTATGTCAGCATCAAACACATAATACTGGCGTAAGGCGGGATCCTCTAGGGCAGATTTAAATTTCTCTGGTGTTCCTATCCTTGGATCCCACATGGGTATGTGCCGACGATCAGTGCCTGAAAAATTATATTTTACGTTTTTTTATGATGCACTGACAGACACAAACACACACAAAGAGGCAGCCATTCACTCCATTTAAACAAATATATATTTCAGTATTATTCATCACAATGCTTTTGCAAAGTCTCCAACAGTCTCCAATTGTTGAAAGAAGAAAGAAAATATAAATTCAGTTCACCCTTGGACAGTATACAACTCTTAAAAAGGGTGCAATACATGGCTTCCACGTTTCACATGAGTTTAGTGTAATTTGAATATATATTATGCATGTAATCCAAAAAATAATTGTGAAAAAAAAGGTACAGCTTACCAAGGACCCATTCCTTATCTAAACCTGGCTTCACTCGACAGATATCGACATACTTATCAAACAAGGGATGCTCCCAGCAATAGTGGTGACCTGGATACACAAAAACGTTTCTTTTGTGAAAACATGTATCATTTTAAGCTCAAAGAATATAAATCCTCATTCATTTAACAGGAACAAAAAAGTGAAAAAAGCAAACCAAATTTTCCTATTTGCACAAATCACCAAGATGCATTCAAACAAACAAGTAAATAAATAAGACAACTTAATTAATTTCCATTTACTTTGTTAAAATCTAGCCTTTTTGCTTACACCTTTTTGCTTACACCCCCCAACCCCCCTCTCCCCAAAGAAAAAATTAATTAAATGATCATGCAATATTCTAGGTGCATGATCATGCAATATTTTATGCACATCTCCCAGTCATATAAACTTACATGTAATAGGGCCCAACTGTATATCGCTGTACCTGAAATATGTAACTTACCTGGAGACATGTTATCAAAGTTGAAGTCACCGCACACTACATCAAAGGCGACCACTTCCCCAAAGGAATCCTTCTTGGACCTAAACTCCTCCAACCATTGCACCAAGCAGTCTAACTGTTTTAGATGTGTTTTATCCTTGCCTGCAAAATAATATATCAAGATAATATATCTTGATATTACTGAAATATATATTTTTCCACTGCCTAATTCACTTATGATAGGACTTAAAGGGTTTTGACAAGAAAAACTACAATTATTGCAATATTTCTAAGGTCCCTAAAAATTTCATTACCTGTTTATCAATCAAGCAATTAGCAGACCCTTTATTTTTTTCTATTTGACTAAGGCCAAGTCAATAAGACATGCACTGCTTTTTTGCTTTAATGTAAAAATGCAATTTGATGAGTTGGGGGTTGTAATTTCAGGACATCAGAAAAAGTACCAAAAAAGAAAACAGGATGATTTAAGACAAAGAACATTACATATATTGTCTCTTTCTCATCATATCTGAACTTTTTTCTCTTGACATATCCAACTAGAGGATCAGAGAGGCGATACCGCCTCCGAATATTGTACCACCAGCTGGAGCAAGCGCATTCGTATAAACCCCCACATACACAAAATAAGGGACATAGCCANAATTATAAACAAACATTTCATATCCAAGCTTTTCATTTTTGTATTCTTAGCCCGATATAGTGTGTATATACCTTAATTAATACAGCAACTTTTAACTTACAACCTCACCACCTTAAGTTTACCTGGATATGCTTGTAAGTGAGTATTTGTCAGGTATCCAACTACATCTTGTCCTGTGCTGTTCTGTCCTAATAGGATCTGAAATTATGACAATATGCTATAGTAAATTCACTAAATGTGTTCAGTGTGATTTAGATCTAGATGCTCCCATTTTTGGAATGTGCCTGAGTGCTGAACCACCAAATATATGTTATATGTGCCAGAACTACTTCAATTAAAAATTTATATACTTCTGCAGGTTCAGCATTTTCAGAAGCAACTTGCCACTGCTGATATAGATTTTAAAAAACATATGCTGTTAATCTTAGGACAATGAGGGCATAAAAATGTCATTTTCATGTACAAAATATGTAGTATGTGATGGCCCAAGACCTAGTGCTCCCTGAAATGATTCATGTTGCAAACCACTTACTGGTCATACACTGAAGATGAAAGGATATATATTACAGCCCAAAACCTTCCAGCCATTTAAGTAAAACATAATACTTTTTAAATTAAACATTTTAACCTGCCATAATATCTTGAAGCACACCACTATCACACTTACTTTAGTGATAAGAACTCCTTTAGAGGACAAACGGCACTGCATTTTACTGTCTTGAAAGTAGTCAAATTCTGCATGCATTATAGGATACTTGCTGGCAATGGCAAGGCCACTGTTGTAGGTATAAAAATTACTATGCAAGCTATGAACACCTACGTCATAGATAATGTATGAATAGCACTTGTGAAGTTCTTCTACCAATCTTTTACTGCTCTGTCGATCAAATGTTTCTTGGAAGCAGACAAAATCAGATGCTGGAAATTCTGTGAGAATGGCATGATCTATAGGATCCTCTTCTTTTCCCTTTGCTGCTGGTATTCTTACAGGAGCTGCACCATTTTGAACATGACCATTATTTTTAATTGTAGTGTTAGCTTTAGACAATTGCGTTAGATGTGATGTTCCGTCACAACCATCACAATCACCTGAAACTTTGGCTCCAGTCCTAGCAAACTCTCTGCCCATCTCAGAGCCTCTGAGGGTATTATGAGTCAAATTATTCATCCTCCCCACACAGTTAGGCAGCAAACACACATTAGCTGTAACAAATGTATACTGATCTTTCAAATAAGACACTGTTTCTTTCCGTATCGAACAGGAGTAGATGAACGGTTGCACAATAAATGGTTGCACCAACAGAAACCACAGAGAAAAACTAATCACCAACAGTGGAAGAGTAGCTATAGTGCCAAGCAGTGTGAGTGGCGCTATGATAAAAAGATGTGGTAGCCGTCGCCATGGGGTCTTCAATTCCTGTGTTGTGGGGACGAAGCAGCATAGAAACTCATCCAATAGCAGATACCATGGCCTGTACATGTAGAAACACACCCAGTCCAAGAACTGGGCAAACCTGTTGCTGAACGGGGATTGGCTCTGGTGAAGCATTATTAAATCTTTCTGGTATTTTCCTCCTGAGGCAGTTAATTAGAAGGATCTACTGGTTTGCAATCTTTATGTATTTTAGTCAAAGCTACTGCATATGTTAATATTCCAAAGTTCGCTTTAATTGGTAATATATTATATATAATATACCCTGGATCTAATCACATTTCGATGTGCCAGTCTGCAAATATGTGGCTATTCTACTGCTGCATTATAAACCTGTATTCCAGCTTATCAAAGTTATCTAGTTTTCAAGAGCATGTTCATCAAGTCCACTCACTGTTATCTTTTTCATGTTAGCATGTGACATCATGCAGTCTTGTTACTAGTAGTTTTGACCTTCTAGGTTTGGCATCTCAAATTGCTCAACCTGAATTTATTAAAATCTTGTATTTATTCCATGTGGGAGTCTGACCAATAATGACTAGGCTTTCTTTCTTTCTTTCTTTTTTTTTCTTATTAGCAGTGCTGGCAGCTGGCCCCCAGGTTCCACAGTAAAGAATTAGACCATGCCCATGGGACATCCGACTGAAAATATAATGTGGATAGAGATAGAGATTAACTGTAGGTCAATAACCTTGTATTTGGATGGAAGGGCAGAGTTCAGTTCAGGTATACACTTCTTCGTGTTATATATCTAAAATAAATATAATAATTATAACCAACAGGGGCAGATTGAGGCCATCTTCTGAAAGACGATCAGAGTTTCAAGTTTACACTGACACCCATCTTTTTTTTTTTCCGGAAGACGGTCATAAATGGAGGATTGATTAACAAAGAAAACTGTCAGGAAACAGCTCTGGATCCACCCCTGACCTTAAAATGAAGAAATGATAATCAAAAAAATTTTTATTTCACACCAAGCAGTTAGTACATTTTTATGTATCACACCAGTTTCAGACGCGATAGCATGGCTATTTTTATTAAGTAAATTAAGCCTGAGGGTCCATTCCCAATGAAACTATCGTATTACATAGACTGAACCAATTCTGTGGGGACTCCTGCTGATTAGCGAAATATGAAAATGTACCGCTTGATGTGAAAAAGAACTTGGTTTCAAACTTTTTCAACTATTTTTTTCAGATTTAGGTCTTATAATTGTTCTTTTTATTTAACATATATAATGTTAGGAAGTGTACACCTGAACTGTTTAATTGGGAAGGTGCCCCAAGAGTAAGGCTAAATGGGGGCGGTTAAATGGAACTCTAGGCAGTACATATCAGAATCGGAGTGCTAACGCATGAATTTTCGTGCTAGTGCTTGACCCAAGCCAAGGCGTAAAATAAGTGCGTTTTTTAAAAAATACAATAAACAATAATCGCACAGCCAAACCGCAAGCTCAATTTATCTACTGCCAATAACTTGCTACAAGTCTAGATAGCAACTTATACGCACTACTACTTATCAAAAGACGAACCACCACCGGCTTGTTCCTGGTGCTCAGCTGTAAATACAGAGCTGTTTACAAAACTTGCATTAGCTTCGACGTAGGTTATCAGTTAATTAACTTGAGGTACATATATTTCATTGAAAACAATACCTCAAGTAATTTTAAATTTATTCAGTAGATAATCAATAGACTTTGAGTACATAAAATATATCCAAAACGTTCGAAACTTAAGTATAGGTAAGCTGCTAGCCAAACAATAAAGTACGCGAGGGCAAAGTTGGAAGCGTGATGGAGTGAGGAAACTTTAACACAAAGAAAAGTGGAAACGTTTTTGGTTGAAGCATGTGACAATCAGTAGGTAAGTCGCCAAAGCACGTATATATTAAATCATATGTACATTGTCACTAACTGTCACCAGTCTTGAAACCTTAAAATACAAGAGCATAAAAAAGTTCGGTACCAAGGCAAAATTCTGCTGCTGGTTTTAGGTACAGTTTAACTCCAATTCCTCATTGAAAGCCACAACAAGGTTCTTGCCAAGTGCATGTGGGCGGGGATTTCTACAGTTCAGTCAGGGTGTTAAATGTGTTTAAGTCGTGGTGTTACTCATGTCACTTGATAAATTTACGTCTAAACTTAGGCGGGGCTGTGAAATATTTGAACCTTGCGATCAAGCCAAAAGTTACTCAGCCTTTGTCTTGGAACGCCATGAATATGGTTTTTTTCCTGAGTTGATAAAATTGAGTATTATAACTCGTAGATGATGTGGGTAAGCCATCATCAGCTCAAGAAAAAGGTGAAATATTGATGAACTACTGGTTTGAAGGAATTTTTTAAAGATAAAGAAAGGTAAAGAAAAAAGGACAGAAAACATGATAAAAATATCAGAATAACCTCATAGCCCAGGTTCTGTACTAGAGGAAATATTTACAATCCCTTTATTGTGGAGTGGTATTTATATTTATACAAAAGCAGTTATCTGTTTATGTTATTAGTTATATTATTTTGAATGTTAAAAAGAACATATTTGGACAGTATAAATGAACAGATGTGCTTTAGCAATTTTAATGAGTACAAATTATATTTTTGATTTTAGAAATTAGGATAGTTTTTTCTTTATGATGAAATGAGGATATGTAGGAAAATTTCAAAGAATGACAACTCTATAATATCTTCATGCATAGGGATATTTTTACCATTTTAGTCTGTTGATCAGAGACAATTCATATCATGATCAATTGAGAGTTCATTTATTTTTCATCAACATTTTGCCAAGTGATAAAATTCGAGCCATTGTCAATAATGTGTCTTATCCTCTGAAGTCTAGCTATATGTAAGATATTGAACAAAGTCTTAAACCCAAACATGAAAATAATGAACTGGATCATAGACTAAGTGCAAGCCCATATTTATATCTGAACTGGTTTACAAAGCCAAACAAAGGAGCTTATTGAAATTATTGAAATGACTCTAATTTCTCAGGTCAAATGTGAATTAAACAGAGTGAAAACATTTTCCACTACACAAACAAAATTTTCCAATTAAACATGACCCCTTTTTTGCAGAATTTATTGATCTATTTGTTTCCTCTTGTTTTTCACAGCCATACAACATGGGTCGTGGTCTTTCTTCTTCATAATAAAAAGAACTCACAGGTAGGGTAAATATTACGCAGCAGACCCCAGTGGTGTCAACAGAACAAAGTTCCGCCTGTGTAATTGATTCCACTGTTTTCCATTTCACGGCTCCAGTCTCTCTGGGACTGTGTCCCTTGTTTCGTTTTGTTTTTACACTGTATTGATCATGTATTGGTCATTGAAGGTAAACAGTATTGGTGCGGTGCTCAGTATTGTAATTGTAATGTATGTAAACAGGTGTGGTAAGTGGATTGTAATATAATAGTTCACATCTATTTGGGAGCTTGACAGAGAGACCCCTGGTCAGGGAATACATCTGCTAGGGTAAGGTATATTTTGCAAACTGTAAGTGGACTTAAAGGTATCCTAACTGTGATTTTTCTACCAAATGAAATTTTCTTCAAAAAACCAAAAGAATTTTTGATCTATTCACAAATCATTGCTTAACCCATCCCTGCACATTATGAAAAGGTTGGTATAGCATAAGATTAAATAAATGTACATGTTATAAGTGTCTGATTTTCAGCATATGACATTTTATGTTTTACAACTATGCTGAAATTACTATATTTATCAATATACTAGTACTAGTAGTAGTAGTCCCGAGAAATTAATACCAGAGTAAGATGGATGCAAAATCTGGATGAAAGGATTAACTGGAGTAGGGAAGGAGGATTAATGTGGGGGAATTATCTCAAAATTGTGGATTAATAAGAGAAAGGAATTAAATTCTGAGAATCACAATGATTGGTCAAACAAAGGGAAACCCTTGTTGTGTAAAGCTGATTAGATAAAGTTAATCATTCAACATGGTTACAGCATTGTAAAGTTTTTATTTGCAGGAAAGCTTTCCTCTGTCTGAAAAGACTTACTGGTGGTAGGCTGTTGTAACATTAATCATACTCAGCACTTTTGCAGCTTCTTCCAAAAAGAAGTATTCTCATGCATTTGTTTATGGATATTATTCAATGAACTGATATGAACCCAGTCAACAAGAAATATCAGATCTTTGATCTGATAGGTTTTTCTGGGTCAAATAATTATAATTGTCACCTTGTGATTGATCAGTATATATGATGAATAAAGATGTAATACTTTTGCCTATTGGTCAAAAGTTTTCTTGGTATATGAAACATCTGTTCCCATTGGTTAGTGCTCATCATAAGTATAAAGCAGTTGGTAAGGTGAGATAGGATGTTCCATATTGTCAGTGCACAATCCAGGAGACCTAGAGTATAGCCTATGATGGTGACCAGTTGAAGAATGTGGTCAGTGCAGTCAGTGTGTACGGGTAGTGGTGAACAGCAAAACCAGACTTTGACAGACTGCCCAAGGTATCTGTGTTTTTATGATTTTTTTTATAGATAATAATATTTTTTTAAATGATGCTTTTTGTTTGGACATAGTTGGCGTAGTTGGCCATCATGCTTTTGCATGTGCACCTAGAATTCACCTTTTATTTTTACTATTCAATATTTTAAAGTGAATCACTAAAAGGAGTATTTTTTTTTTTCTGGAGTACATGCCAAGTGTGTAGTGATATTTTCCCCTCCCACAGTGCCCCACCTAGGGCAATATCTATCCACCATGTGATATTTCAACATGTCAGTTAATTTGACTGAAAAAGGCCTGCTCTGAATCTGACTGAGAGCTTGGTTTTACACTGACTTGATTTGATTTTTCAGACCCCCCCCCCCCCCAATTTGAAATTGCTGGCTGTAGGCCTTTTGCAGAGCTGGCAATATTTTACACCTGCATGTTTGAGTAAACTTTATGATGCTTAAACACCATTGGGTTTACACCACAGAATGGAAGTTCATATAATAATTCATAACTTAGCCTCTCAGCGTGGTCATAAACACTGCTTTGACTGTCGACAGTTGCTAGGGATTGGATTGCGAGATCCCTATCAACATCCACTTTTTATGTGGAAATCTGAACCCATTAGAATTCTTTGGCTTATTGAATGAACAGTAATCATATAGTTTGATGTTGAAAAAGGTGGTTTGGGAAGTTTGGACCCAGGTTGTGTAAAGTTTAGGTAAGGTCATCATGCAGGCAATGCCACTGAGGTAGATATTTAGACTTCTGTCTGAAAAATAATTTGTTTTTGGCCAAGTACAGAAACTGGATTTTTCTTATCAGAGAAATGGTCATATGTTAATACATAATGACAGCAAGATTAACAGTAAAAAAGTTGTATATTCATAAAAATAACAAAATATACAACTCATTATCGTGAAATTGCAATCAGTTGCAGGGTCCACAGCATGATGTTCAAATTATTGAGCAACCAGTAGTAGTTTGATTAAGTAGAAAAAAAACACTACCGAATGTCTGTAGTTTGTAGTTTCGAAGATGAATGAACTGACAGTAAACACAGGTATCTTTATCCTTGTCCCTGGGCCCTATGGCAGGTGATGGCTGACATTCATTCATCTTAGAAACTAGGAATGTGAGATTTGAGAAAAGGATGCCAAGTTATGTACCAGCAGATTTGGGAGATAGCTATGACAGGTGTTTGTGCATACCTGGACTAAAGAGAAAATGTTAAAGTGATCATTTTCTGCTGAAAAGCATGCCCATTGAAGAATAATTTATAAATATTTGGAGGGGAGAAGGATGTTAATTGATGGCATTCCAGTGCTTTGGAAGAGTTTAAATGGATTTTTCTGCTTTCTGTCTACTCTAGTCAGACCTGTGGTCTCCCTCCTTAACTTCCTTCCTCTCTCACTCCCTCCCTCCCCCGCCATTCAATTGCCCCCTCCTCTTAATCTCTCACACATGAATATTCCCACTAAAACTCTCTCTTTTCATCTCACACATGCATAAACACACACACACACACATACATTCTCTCACTCTTGCTCTTAATCTCTTACACATGCACACACACATAAACACACACACACACATTCTCTCACTCACCCCCCCCCCCCTTTACATACACAAGTCGTGACAAGTGCACTTGGCATTCTAGTCAATATTTACTCTGCTATTGAAGACAGAGAGTAAATCCCATCTAAGTTGACCAAAGCTTTATGTGTGGCTATGCCTGGTATTTAATGTGATTTGATGTGGATTTGAAGAGGACTAAGGGCTGGATATCTGGTATTGACAGTATAAAATGTGAGGTTGATCTAGATGGAGAATAATGTGATCAAACACCTGCCAGCAGCACAGCAGGGATAGTGTTAATATTTAAGTCAGGGGAGGTTTGAAGGTGCTTGAACAGACAGGTAAATTCTGAATTATAATTCTACTGGAATGTGCTGTAGTTATTAGTTTCTTCTCATTGGAAGATAGTATAAACATGGCGATAACTGTAATATTCTCATTGTAATAATAGTGATGATTCAGTTTTCTCTGTTATAGATGTCATTGTGATATCTGTTTTGATTATGTTTGCCTTTCGTTGGATACATTTTATGTATATCATTGTGCTTACTCGCAGTTTTCAACAAACCGAAGTGACAAGAAAAAAATTGTTACAATAATGACATAGATCTCTTCTATAAACATATCATTGGAGACCTCTGTTAACTGTGCTTTTTACTCTGAACATTCTTTGACTTCAGTCTGTCACTTTGCAGCTAAATTCACTTTCTAATTTATTCCTGCTATGTCCTTTACTTTTGAATCTGGCAATCAAGCAAACTTTATCTTGTACATATTCAAGATAGTATGTGCAATCCATGTTTCGCATACACATATTGTGAGAGTATGTATGTTCATGCACTGTCTTACTTGCAAACACCTACATGCTTTCATTTGCACACACACACAAACAAACACACACACACACACACACACACACACACACACGCTTGGTTGATAAAGCCTCTAAAGCTATAAAACATAACATGCAGAAAAAGCAGTGGTTAACTTTAAATCCTAAGCTTGCTATCAAATACAGCATTTTTTTTCCATCTTGTTCAGATTCCAGTACAGTGCATTCAATCAATCAATATAATATGTAGAGAACATATCACTGGCAAAGAGCCTTGGAAGTTGGTTAATGTACCCAGTGTTCACTGTGTTTACTATGCTCAATAACTTACTTCCACTAACTAGTAGCTGTTCATGTTACTAGTGTATCACTGTAGGAACATGCGGTTACATGGGTGTGTTGGCAAGGAGAATTATGTGAACTTTTGATAAAAGAGTGAGCTTGTGATGTTGTTTTTTTGTATGTGGGTGAATTTGTCAACTCTTATAAATGTTAAAACTGCTGGATGTGAGTCTGATCCCTTTTTTTTTTTTTTTTTTTTTGGGGGGGGGGATAACTCATAAAAGTAGCCCTTGATTTATTGCCTCTTTTGATATAGTTTGCAGTTTAAATGTGACTAATTTTTAAAAGCTTGTCAATTTTAATGACCTGTATGAATTTCAAAAGTGAGTTTTTTTTAATACACGAGATCAGGCTCTACATTTATGTATTACACACATGTTCATAAATTAAATAGATTATACCACAGTCAGATTTGAAGTAAGTAACTTAATTAGTTTGAACGGATGTCATGTGAAGATTGAATTCACATTTTGTCTATTTATCAACCTTGTTTTTTGAGAATTTTGCTAGGAACAGTTCATAAGTTGACGTCTATTTTTCTCCATATTACAGGGCTGAACTCAATCCAAAGATGGGTTATGACATTGAGCGATTCATCGGACCAATCAACGATGGCCTTTTATGTTGCATCTGCCGTGATGTGCTTGAGGACCCATTGCAAGCGCCGTGTGAACACGCATTTTGTTCAGTTTGCATCCATGGCTGGCTTGTGCATGAGAATTTCTGCCCAGAGGACAGAAGGACACTATGGGCGTCTGAGCTCAAACCCATATTCCGTTACATGAAAAATGACTTAAACCAGCTCCAGATTCGATGTAAAAACACACGAGCAGGCTGCACGTTTGTGTGTGACCTCGAACACGCAGCTGCACATGACCGTGAGTGCCCCTTTGACACAGTGGAGTGCCCCAGTGTGGGATGCACAGTGATGGTTGAACGAAGGCAGATGGAGGAGCACCTCCAATCGTGCGAATTTAGAACACGTGAATGCCCGCGTGGTTGTGGCCTCCCCCTTTTGAGCACTGAGGATGCAGATCACAATTGCATTGCGGAGCTACGGACCACACTAGAACTTCTCCGCTCAGAGATGATCTGTAAAGTTGAAGATCAGAAACAAGAGATGGAGCTCCGCCTTGATGCACAGCGGCGCCACATGGTGCAAAGGGAAAGCGCTCTGCAGAGTCAGGTGGACGAGCTGAAATCTCAGATGTCACGTCTCACACAGGATGTCCAGATCTTATCAGATAAAGAGAAACAGCGCGTAGAGGAGACACAACGCTTAGAACTGGAAAAGAAAGAGCTGATGGATTTACTGCGTAGTTTACACATTCGGGAACCAGAGGAAAGAATCATCACCAAGAAGCACATTTGCCGTCAGTGTCATAAGACAGAGAAGGTCACTCTGCTGTAGTAACTTTTGTATTGTCTTGTTATCACTTAGGCCATGTTCAGTTCAGTTTTAACTAAAACTGTTATAGTCCTTATTTAAGGAAGTACACTTTTTGCTACCTCTACAATATATGAGTTATTTGGTTGGAATAAGGAATGGTGGTTGATGTAGTTAAAATAACATTTACAACTTATTTTTCAGAATATTAATTCACTTCAAATTAGTGAGGGTTTACATAGATGATAGGTTCTTTAAAAATATACTTCTTGAAGTAAGATATATTGGTTTATTTAAGACTATCCTGAACATAGCCTTTTTCATCTGTAGTGCCATAATACATTAAAAGTTGAGCAGTTGAAACTTCTGAAACAAAGGCCCTTTTTGCATCATGCAGTGCACCTACACAAAAAAAAAACTCTTTTAGAGTCATAAGACTATAGATAGCAGCTGTAGTTTGCCACAACAACCATGCTGTCATATTCATCATATTTTTAAGATCATTATGCTTAGAATGCCATGTAGAATTTCATATTTGATACATTGCCATATGTAATTGTGCTTCAGCTGTTAGACAAACATTTTGCCATCATTCAGTCATGCCATTCATAGTGTCATTAGGTAGCAAGAGATATCAATTTGTGTGTCAAACCAGATACCTGTTTGTTGAAGTTGTGTCTCCTTTCAAATTGGTCATTATTAGAGTGACCAAATATGACCCATATCAGGAAGACATCAGATTATGATTAGGTCAGCATAAAAGGCCAATCTAATCCCTCTGTGCCTCTGCCAAAGTGAGGGAATTAGTTCAGTTTTTTTTTTTTTTTTTTTTTTTTTTTTAGGTCTACCCAGCTTAGCTGAAAACTGGCCATAAAATGTTTAAAAATTAGCAACTTTAAGGCAAATTTTTTTTTTCATTTTCTTCTTTCAATTTTGTGTCATTTAATGTAGAAACTTTGTTTTGCATAAGTGAATGTTTATCACTAGTGAAATTTATACTTTTTTTTCCCAATAATGCCAAAAAGACAAAGATTTTGAACTGATTTTGAACAGAATTGCACATTTAATCCGTCCCAGATTCTTGACAATTAACCATTTTTGGTTAAAATGTTTTCTTTGCAGTGCTGATAATCATAGTGATATACTTATACTATAGGTCTTTTTATCTATCCAATTGTTATTATACATAGCATATAACAGTTTGCATCATTCAGCTTTGGTTTTTATGCATGGGTTTTAAGACTTGTTGCTGACTCACTGTGATATATGGAATGGGGAAACTTTTAAAGTGGAATATGAATACAGTGATTACTCGATCTTTTCAATGGGGGGGGGGGGGGGATTGTGAATTTTTCAGTCATAATATCTTAATAATTAGGACATCCATATTGAGTTGTAGAAACAAAATTAAAAAGCAGGTTACTCTATAGTTCTCTTCAATGCAGTTAAAGCACCACAAATGCTTTATAGAAAGATAATTTTTGCCCATTGAAAAGATCAAGTAAATATAATGGTCTGTTATTAAAATATTAAAGGGACATTTTTGTGCATTTCTACAACACAAATGAATTATTTGATTATCCAGAATATTTGTGATAGTGCCCAGTATGTCACAAATTGATGGCAAACATCTGGTAGCATTGAGCATTTGGTGGTGTTTGTTCTTTGTTGGAATGAGGTCTTATGCCAAATAGTTATTAAAAACAAGTGGGCCAAGGTGAGGGGAAAAAAGATGAATCTTTATGTATATCTATACATATATTCATAGGTTTATTTGTTTATTTGCTAAGAAGTTTGAGTGGTATTTCATTTATATGTTATTTTTAACGATTATTAAAATCCACATTGGTAGAATTTTGGTTTGAGAGTTCAGCAATTTTGAACTTTTGTTTATTTGCATGATTTATTTGTATGTTTGTATAGCATACTCCTGTGTAAGTGGTGAAAAGGTAAGGATTTGGTTGGTAAATCATAGATAGATTTCAATAAAAGGTTCAAAACTTCAGAAAAATAAGGGAAATAAAAATGTAAAATACAGGAAAGCTTGGCAATGAAGGAGGATTTTTATGTACAGACACAGATGTGTCTGTACATATTGCCATCACCTGCGTCTGTCGTCGCCGTTCATGTCGCCGTCGATGTCGCCGTCGCCGTGCACTTTCAGCGTTAACACCATAAGTGGAAGACAGTTTTACTTTTTGGCTTTATATTTACAAAGCTGATGAATATTCATAAAACGCAGGTCAAGTTCGAAAATCAGCATGATCGGGCCGTTATTGTAGAATTTATGCTGTTTTTTCACTTTTCAGCATATATGCAACACTGTTAACACATTTCAAAGAAAACCGATAGGCATGTTGTCATGAAACTCACAGGAGTAATCAATCTTACTAAAACGCAGGTGAAGTTCGAAAATCGGCATGATCGGGCCACCATTTTAGTAGTTATGCTGTTTTTTCACTTTTCAGCATATATGCAACACTGTTAACACATTTCAAAGAAAACCGATAGGCCTGTTGTCATGAAACTCACAGGAGTAATCAATCTTACTAAAANATTTGATGTTGAATTTGCAGTTTAACATAATGTACTTTTACATCAGAATTGACAGTAGCCTATTTTGTTATTTCCTGCTATTTGTCTGTACATTTGACAGCTTTGCTGCCTTGTTAATAAAAGAGTTGAGGGGGATGCCACAATGGAGGGGAATTGTTGTTATCATAAGTTTATTAAAAAATACCTGATGTAAGATAAATCATCCAGGTGAGGCATTTATTAAATCTGCTCCTGTAAGTAGCATTAAAGTGCTGCAAAAAACGAAGCAATTATTGATATGATATTATAATGGTATATTTTAGTTATTACCTCGTGGTTATTATATATACTTACACTTAATAGCACTTGTGTATATATTTTTACATTATAAATAAATCACTTGCCTTTGTGTCTGTTTTGTTTTAACAATGTATTGTAATAAATAGCATTACAGAGACGGTTTATTTCAAGAGGAATGTTTTCTTTTGAAAAACAGCATGATCAGATTATTTTTAGAACTTGATGCTCGTTAAATGTCAAACAATGTCAAACAACCATAAATAAGGACAATAGATAAAGTGATATTGAAAAAATTCTTATTTTGACACAAATCACTGATATGGGTTCGGCCTTGACTGTGTGTTACAGCATATCATCAAAATATCTTGGTGTATGCTGAAGGTAAAATGTAAAATGAAGCATAAAATTAGCCATCTACTTTCCTAAATGCCCATTTGGTATAAGGAACCCCTGCCTTTTGATTTTTACGGCTTAACAGTTGTCTGTAATATCAAGATCTGTCTTGTGTTTTACAACATTTGAATATAATATTTTAAATATACCTTTTTAATGTTTGAAAATGAATAAATTTATCAGTAAAATTAAAACGCGCCATATGTTTGATATTCACTCAGTAATAAAACTGAACAGGAGTGTTTTATCCTTGAGGTTAAGCACAGTATGCACATCTAACGCATTACTGTGGGTAAGAAGTTAGTGGGTAAGCACTAAAAGCCCTTTATGTAGTGGTTTTCTACTTAACTCCTTGCGTGTGCTCGGTTTCCGTAATTTAGGTAAAAAAAGCACGTCGAGTGCAGCATTTTATCGATATGAGTATAAGGATTGTCAAATGATGTTTTGACATAAAATCATTGTAACCAGGTGTTTTACACTATGCAACACAATCTATATGCACTTGTATCAGCCGCAGTCAATTCTGTAGGCATGGCGGAAGATCTGTGTTAGGACCTTAAATTGTTCAAACTGTCCTCGGAGTTTCTTCAAAAGAACATGGCTTTACGGGCAAAGAAATTAAGTTCTAAACTGATATACTTTGTTGAACCATCTTTTTTCAATATAAAAAGTCCGATGTCATCCACACCATGTTGCTGTGCGTTGTAACTGGTTTTATAACACGCCTCGTTTATTTTCATACGTGCGAGTCGTGCATGTATGCCAGTCTCCACGCCTTAGTAATTTATTATCCACATCCACCATGTTGCGTTGTCAAAACGGTCGTTGTCTAACAGAAAAAATGTGTTAAAAATAACCGATTTCTGAATTTTGCTTTTCTTCTAAAAATAAGAATAGTATAATATCATCTTGTGAATGAAATGTATCCTGGAAAGATTGTCGCTTTCCTCCTAAATACTGTTTTAATATTATAATGTGAAATTCACTAAAGAAAAAAGTTGCCTAGGCATGCTGTGACTTTATAAACGAGTTTTACTGCACCAGAATCTGCAATCACTTTCAACTTTTTCCGGCGAATGATCATGTCGAATTCACAAATCAAATAATAAGAGGTGTAGTATTGTGTTCTGTTGTAAAATTCGTGCTTTAACCTAGAAAAAAAGAAGAGTAAAAAATATAGGGCTTTAGGCTGCGCGGGTAGAGGGTAGCAGTGAACCTTGGAGATTAAAAATATTTATTTATTTATTTATTTATTTATTTATTTATTTAAAGGGGGGTCTTTGTACACTGTTCGCCTTTTACTTTCTTCAGGTCCATCAGAACTTACTTTTCTTTCAATAAGCGTCTACATGAACACCATAGGCGAAACAAATAACTTTCTTGCATGCATTGGGGGCCTTCAACACCACCCTCCCCCCCCCCCCCCCCCCCCCCTCCCCGGCACATTTCTCTGCTTAGGGCCTTGCATTACTGATATCATGATATTTGGATGAGCTTTAGCTGGAGACGGAACTTGTTTAGTCGATTTCCCTACAACATGCAAGTTTCCTTACAAATAAACCAATTATTTATCTTATTTTGCATTCAAGAGATCAGTCGTCGTCTACTAAAGGAGAAATTTGAAATTTCATTTACCAAATGGGAGTCATTTCCCATTTAAAATGCATACAAAAGGTTGACTGTTAGATGTAGAAAACACATCTAAATTCGCTAAGGAGAGACAAAAGCTACCAAGTGCGTGACACGAGACACAAACATCCAGAGTGTCACTTAAAAAATAAATAAATGTTATTTTGATAAAAAAATAAGAGAATAAATAAGAATTAAGAAAATAAATCAAATTAATGCCTCTTATCATTCTTAAGACGTACATCCTGAATTGTGAGAACTGAGCATGGAGATATTGTATGGATAGCGCATAGATAATTACATAATACACTAATCCATCCGCTGTGCGGTCTGCAGGTATTTTAGAAAACAACGTGTTGCAGAGTGAAATCGGCGCAGCATAGACATACAGGGTTAATACCAAATATGGAATATTATGTTTTGGCTAGTAATTTTTTTACAAAATGTTCTCACTATTTTAAATCCGAAACTGAGTAGTCACTCCATGTGTAGCCAGGTGTGTTACCTAATTACCACACAACTCTTATAAAAATTGATGCATGCAGTTGCATGTTCTGTGGTCAGAAATGTGAGGGGTGGACTTTTCGACAATTTCTGCCCTTGTATAAAAACGCATGGGTTTGGCCAATCTTTGGAGTGCATTTCAAGAAGCAACAAAGGGGTCGCCCCGAAACTTGACAGGTACCTTACACCCCATTTCCATAGATTAGATCGACCTACTTTAGATCGACCTAACTCCCTGGGGGTTCACGCTAAATAGCTGTCAGCCGGGCGGACACGAAAGTTAATTACCCTCTTACAGCTTGTAGTAGGCGGGACGGACATTTAAGTCGGATTATCTGAAAGTAATCTAGTGAGACTCCCCGCGGGGATAGATCGATGTAAAATCTATGGGAATAGAGCCTTAGAGAAGAGATGGTTCGACAGCTAAGCAACGCAGCTTACTGCGGGATTCTTGCTGTCAGAGAAAATGACCAGGAGCGGGCCGCCATTGTAAGGCAATTCAACATTTATCAGGGAACCGTCAGTAAAGTCCTCCAAAGAAATGCTACAACAGGCACACCTACTCCAAGACCTCGACCAGGGTGTCCTCGTATAAAAAAAAAAAAAAAAAAAAAAAAAGACTGTGCCGTGCTGGTAGTACAAAGACAACCAGTGTCCTCAGAAGGGAGTGGCAAAATGTCATTCAAACGCACGTTTCAAGGTCCCTCGTGAACAAGAGATTACTGCAAGATTTTGCACAAAGAGCAGTACGAAAACCATTGTTAACAGCAGGTCATATACAGGTACAGCGAGGTCTGCAATGGGCTGGGGACCACGTGCATTTGCAGCCAAACCAATGGAATCACGCCGTTTGAGTGATGAGCGATGAGTTTTAAGGGTTGGCGGTCGAATCCATATCAGCCAGCGTGTGCGAGAGGCATGTAACGATGATCGTGTACTGCCTGGGGTGCAAGCAGGGAGTGGTGGCGTCTCTGTTTGGGGAGCATTTCATGCCAGTGCCCAGAACCAGTTGGTTTTTCTAGAAGGCAACCTCAACCAGGGTCCCCACAGAGACATTCTACAGCAAACATTACTTCCCTTTGTAAGAGCCATCTTCAGGAACAACTCTGTGTACCAAGACGATTACGCACCCCCAACATCGAGCTCGCAGAATCACTGCTTTTCTTAAAAAACAAGGGGTTCAGTAACTGCCCTGGCCTGCAAACTCCCCAGATATGAACCCAATTGAAAATCTGTGGGCGGAAGTAACTCGCAGAGTTAATAGCTATGGTCATCATGTGATGAACCACGAAAGGCAAATATCACTGCGTGGAATGATATCCCCATCCCAACTCTGAGAAACTTGTCACAGGGTATGCTATGTAGGGTGAGGGCGCTGCAAGCGGCTGCTGGAGGTCATGTCCGCTATTGATTACTTTTCATGATTTACTGTAAGGTGTTCTTTGCCTGTGTAGCATATCACTGTCATATAGGCTATCATTTTCTTTAATATCTTAGCTTGAAGTTAATACTGACATCAAAGTGTTGGTGTGTTTTTTTTTCTGCGGGTGTTCTTTTCTTTTGAATGACATCTTATGTCAGATTTGATATTATTAACCAAAATATATCACAATAGAAGACTGGATATTTTTATCGCTCAATGACATACTATTTGGATGAATAAAGCCAAAAAAATTTAATCTGCACTCAAAACTAACAGTAATAAAAAAATATTCCATATTAAGTATTAACCTTGTAATTTGACTTCACACATGCCAAAGAACATCAAGAACTAAACGAATATCGATATAAACCAGAAATAATCGAAATTTTATTGTCTATAGCACGAGTTATAAATGAATCAAAAATTCTTTGTCTTGTTTCTTTGAAAACGGCTGAAATGTATTGATACTATTTTCAAGGCCTTTAATTGCCATAGTTTCAGCCTAAGCAGTAATCATCAAATCAATACACGTTAACGTTTAAAAGGCAATATGTAGCGACCTCTACACGGTCGTGGTCAAGCCAACAGTACTTTTTTAACTACAATAGTGACGACGGCAGCACTTGATGGCGTACCAGTTGCTTCTGGCGCAATTGCGTCCATACACCCAGCATTTCGGGTAGCCGAAGGACACACAGGTGCCCACCTGGCTGTAGCAGCGGTCACAGACCAGCGGGTCCCCAACAGGGTGAGTTTGACAGATCCAGTAGCATCTAGGAGGGTGTTTGGGAGCCACCTGTATATATAAATTGGGCTATATTATTATTATTATTATTATTATTATTATTATTATTGGGAACATTCTCATATCATTCGCACTCTCATATTTGACCCGCCACTCAACGTACTGGAGGTTTAACTGAAGTGTTTTAGGGGAATTAACGAAACGGTGTTGAAATCAAGCGCGTACTTGTGCTGCATTTAGACCCAAAGCAGTACTCAGTACTTTTTCGAAAGCTGCTTTTTTTTTTTTCGAGCAAAAACTTACGTCAGTTGCGCCCGTGCCAGCGATGTACGTGACCACCAGCATTGCGGACACTAACACTACTCTGAGATACATCTCGTCACAAGATATCTGAAACAAAACATTTAAAAGAAGATCGCACTTGGTGATGACACTATCAGGACTATTGAAACGATGCATTCAGGAATAAAAAGTATTCATTCTATAACTGCCTTAAATGGCTATTTTATAGACAGCCGCAGAAAGACCGGTACGTACCAAAGTTGTGTGAAAATTAAACGAAAGAAAAAGTTATAACGTCTATTAGTAAATTGTGAGTGTTGCCATTGTTAAGAATACATTTTAATAGGTAAAAACATTGCCTTACATTTACGTCAGTGGCCAAGAAAAAATCGAGCTCCGAGACAAAGCAAAAAGCGAAATGACAAAATAAAACCGACTCACCTCACAAATATCAGTTTTTGCAGCAGCTAGAACTGTAGTTATGGGCTTGTCTACGCTCCGTACGTATTATATACACAGCAAAGGCTGTGTGCGTGATTGAATACTATAATCGTGATATATTACACGGTGTCCCGTTAAATTTTAGAAAAATGGGAAATATTCACGTTAACTAAATACAGGCTGCAGTTCTACCGCTGTAGTGAGGTGTGATGCAACCTGTTACACATAGCTATGGTGAAACACCGAAACTAATTCTAACATTTAATTACGTTACGGTGTGTGTGTGTGTGTGTGTTTGGGGGGGGGGGGGTTGGGGGGGTATACCTGTCACAAGTTCGTTTCGAACTGTTTGGACCAATCAAAATTTAACCTATTCAGGTGGTGTCAAACACTGAGGCTCCCGTATTTTCAACTCCCTTACATAGTAGCAGGATTATTTAAACGTTGTCAATATTTCAAAATATTTTGATGCAGAAGAGTGAAATGCCCGATATGAAAGAGAGGCCAAACTCGACCTGAGCGGGCAACTCGGTTTTTTTTTCCGTATCTGTGGCGTTACACTCAACACACATGTCCTGGTATGTGCTACACGCTGCAGCTGATAGCTGGAGTAAATTTTGGATCTTTGTACTTAGACAGAGATATGTACTTATATCTTTTTAGGCGTCAAAAATTACTTTCTGTGTCTTATTGAGGCAATATTGCTGCAGTTTTATTTCTTGGCTAGACACCAGGTCATATATTCTTATTGCGATTTAGATATCTAAACATTTTATCAACATAGTCTTTGCAATATCCACTTTTTAAATGTGACACATCGAAAGCAAATGTATTATTGTGAAGTGTTTGATAATTTTATGATTTGAATTGCTTTTTCATTTCTAATATGTTAGCATGGTGTAAACATATAAATCCAATTTTTTCTACTTTCACACGGATGTTATTATTTAAGTATGTACAGTATACTGCATGGTTGAAGCATATATATTTTTCACGGGGGCAGTGAAAATTTGCAGCAGGGCAAATCTTGGTTGGATTTTTAAAAAGAATTAACGCATTTAGGCCTACACGTTGCAATATTGTAAACCGTGGGTGGACTTTCTTCCTTATTTACCATTTCCCTATCACAAGTGAGTGGGTTGCGTGTGTGTGTGTTGGGGGGGGGGGGGGGGAGGGGGGAGGAGAGCTTTTTGGAAACCAGTTGATCAGACGTTCCTTAATTGCTTTTCCTTCTGTCAGCATCTGAATAGACTATCAAAAACGGCAAAAATAACCTGCTTGCATGCAATGTAGACTTTCGGCAGCTGGCCCTTCCCCAAAAATTTTTTTCAGCACACGAACCCGATTTTCTGTAACATATAATGACTGGAATATGGTTAACAAGTATCATCTTTACGTCTACCTGTTAAAGGCATGGCAATTGTGCTGAATGCGTTAGGTGTGTTCATTGCATCCGGCCATCCTCACCCTTTTGACTTGGAATGATGATTTAGAATTAGAACCTTAGACGGACATTACACGTAAAAATCCTTCCAGGAAGTTATCGAAACAGTTGCACGGACAGCATATGTGAGTGTGTTTTCACATCACAATGGACCAGTTTCTTTTCCAGTTCACGTGTCATATTTAAGACATTTAATGATTTGTTGACACGGACCCCATTCAGTTAAAGCTTAAAACATAAAATAGCATGACCTTTTGATAGTGTATTTATAATATGCTATATCAGCTCCTGTTGTTAACTTGATATGATAAGAAACGAAATAGAGCACAAGTCTCCACCAGTTTCCAATGAGCCCTACTACTCATTCCTGTCACGTGACTCATAAGGTTCACCTTTGACCTTCCAGCACAGTACAGCTAACGTGACACCGGCATTTTAAGCTCACTCTTTTCGCCCGAAAATCTGTCAAGATGTCCACGACAATGAATAAGAATGATATCTATGCTGTATATGAAGAAGTCCGAAGTGACAGCACAGATACCAACTGGTGAGTTTGACGATTTAGTTAATTTGTAAGACATTTAAACTGTTGCTGCATTGTCTTAGCTATGTTATAAATTTGGATACACCCACTTTGAGTTTCAATCAGAAGTAACAAATAAGTGAATTATTTATTAAAATGATTTCCATTTAATGTTTTTATTTGTCATATTTCCAGGGCAGTATTTAAATTCAACGGACCTGAGATAGTTCTTGATTCTACGGGCACGGATTATGCGGAATTTAAGTCCAAATTTTCAGGTAAGAGGGTGAGACAGGACTAGCGAGTATGACGTCACTTTGTCAATATCACCAAATATGGTATTTCTCCCCTTTGTAGCTGATAACATAGAATCACAATGAAATGGTTTTATATAGCTCCACAGCCCCTCTCACCAACAAGTGGTTGTGATTTATTGTGACCATGTTATTGGACAGTTGCTAAGGTGATTCCTTATGAGACGAAACAAGAGAAGACAAAACTTTATATTGGTGCCAATTAATATATAGTAATTGCCGGTTCGTGTTTTAAATGCTAATCCATGAGTAAGGGTGAAGTGCAAGCTATATTTGGACAATGTTTGTCATAGGGTCGTGGGTGTGTTAATTGGTATTGTTTTCAGCATGTCTGCACGATTATAACCAGTACTTGTCATTACAATTTTAATCAGAACAATACATGTAGGTTGGAGATGTGATTAAGATAAAGAAAGAGTTCTTTGATCACATTGTTATGTCAGTGCACTTGAATCAAAATTAGGAATCAGATTATGGTTAAATATTTAAGGGAAGAAAATAAAATGTTTTACAATTTATTTAACAAAACTATCACTTGGCTACAATTTACTAGTTAGTGGGAAAGCCCAGCCCAGTCACACTTAGACACCTGTTCAGTGTTAGCCAAAACTTTGCACGACCTTTGTGTAAAAAGATTCAGTTATTATGCTCATGGCATGAACTAGTATGACATCAATTTTGTGTTACAGAGTACAGCCTGAAGGACTTGAAACAGTATTGTTACAAATTGTTCACAGTTACACTTTTTGTAACAAAATTGATTTTATTAAAAGATATTGCACATGGGACACATACTGTCTATAGCTTTATATATATAAACAAAGCAAGCACATGCATTGTTTGTAATGTAACCACCAAAATAAGAAAAATGAGAAAAAAAATCAAGGTTCTTATTGTTAAAATGAGGCTGAGCACCTGTTCGGTTGGCTACACAGGTAAGAGAATTTTCACCCTGTTCTTTGAGGCATTTGTGCCAAATATAACTAGCTTATGGTAGAAGGTAAAATATAGAATGTAACAGCTGTTACACAGGGCGTATGATTTAGTGTGTGTACTTTGAAACTGAAGATGTCATCTCCTGTCAATTGACCAATATCTCTATCTATTCTGTCATTGTGTAGCTGACAATGAAGACATTCTACCCACTGTGCAGATAAAAATCTGTAATTATTAGTCCAAAGGGCAGGCCTATATAATCAATTTACCCATATCCTTTCACATTTTCATACTCCACTCATTTGATAATACAATTAAGAACATGCATGAAGCTTGTATTGCTAGCCTGCTGGTTGTTGGGCATGTTTGAACCTCTCTCTCTTTTCTCTCTCTCTCTCTTACACACATGTGCACACACATACACACGCACACACACACGACCTCACATAAAAGAAATAGAATAGCATACCAGAACCTTTGTTTACTGAATATAACAGTGAAAAATCAATGAAATGTTGATAACCACGAAATTATAATTTTATTTTTTTTTTCATACTGTGTTTATTAACTTGCTGAAAAGAATCTTGTAGCTGATGTGCACTAGGGTGACTTAACTCACAAAGGTTATCAAACAAGCCTAGTTTGATATACTGTAAAGAGGAAGCCATAAAACATGTTGCATAACTGTTTGAATGTCTTTGGTGACTATGAATGTCACTGTATGTAGAAACAGGTTAAATGAGATAGGGCAGAGTATTATCAATGTCCTTTCTTTTCAAGAAACCAAGTCCCACTTGCTTTGTCATTAAGTGGCACATGTAGACTGTCTAGTCAGTTATTAATAATATGTAACAATCAGTGCAGGGACATGTGTACTCTCTAAAGGTGCATTGACATTGATTTAAATTGTTTAAAGCTGGAGCACATGCCATCATTATACAGGTAATGAATAAACTTAACTGATTTGCCAAGCAGTGATAAAGCTGTCTGTAACCAGCTGGAAGTTCCTGGTAACTGTACTGTGTTACAGTTCATAACTCATACCAAAACACATTTTTAAGGAAAGTGTAGGTTTTGAACAAAAATGGGAAAGCAGTCACTAGTTTTTAATTTAAATTATTATTATTATTATTATTATATTGTAATCCTCTTATTTTAAAAAGCTTTTAATATAAAACTTTCAACTTTGAGGTCCAATTACATTATAAATAGAAAAATAATTATTAATATTTTCATTTTAAATAAGTAAATACAAAGCTAAGTAGTACAGTACAGTATGATACATTAATACAGTACAAATTATGCAAAGTAGTTGGAAACAACACAACAAACATCAGTAAAGTATTCAATACAGTGTAATGGATTATATATTTGTCCAGTACATAATGATTTTAGACATAATACTATGATATAGAAGCAAACAGCAAGTTTAGAATATATGCATTTACATTATGAGCAGAGGGCCCCATAGCATGCATTAACATTTAGTAATTTTGTAGAATTCAACATAGTATTCTCTGTTTTTCCAGATGATGAGCGTCTATTTGGTTACGTCCGTATTTACACTGGGGATGAACTGAGCAGGAGGGCCAAGTTTGTCTTGGTGGCATGGGTGGGGCCAAATGTCGGAGCCCTAAAGAAGGCCAAAATGAGCACAGACAAGGCTGTCATTAAGGAAGTTATACAAGTAAGTATGAATACCAATAGAAAAAACATTTTTTTAAATCTGGTACACACAGGCATATCCAGGAAGGCAAAATGTTTTTATTGCCAGCAGGTTCCACCCCCACCCCCACCCCCCCTTGCATGTATATCAACATCCTCATTTACATACATGTGAAAGACTGCTTTTTATAATGAAGTAAAAAGGTAGAATTTGAAGTATTTAAACTTAAGGACTTTTGACAACAGGTGCAGTGGATAAATGCAATAATACTCATGTTATAAAAACATTACTTCTAAAAAGTTCTGTGTTAATTTTGGACTTTTCAAACTGTATTATTTAGGATATTTAAAAAAATCTCAGAACTATTTTCTACAATATTTGAACATAATTTCATTTATTATTTCAGAATTTTGCAATAGAACTTATGCCACACGAGGCTCATGAACTTGATGAGGAGGAATTACGAGAGGCGTGCATAAAGGCAGGTGGTGCCAATTATGGTACAGGAGTGAGGGGATAGAATTGACTGACAATCAAGACTGAATTATTGAAATTTTCATCCCAAATCTTATGTGAATATATTATATATATATATGACTTTGCCATGTCAGGAAGAAACTACTGTGGTATGATACAAGCCACTTGCTGAAACCCAAGGATTTGGCCAAGTCCTCTTCATTTGACAACAAAAACAAACAGTGCCAGCCTAACTGTGATTTAGACGGCTTCATCAGGACTCCTTAAGCATGTAACGAGTATTCAGTATTTGCAGCCATATTGGAAATTTTGTGGGACGTGATTCTTCAAAAAATTCAGAGAACATGTAACATCTTGTGAGCTCAATCATGTAGTCAGTTTAGTGAAAATAACTTTCATTATTTGCAATATGCTCATCAATGAAACTACATGGTGAGGAAGGGAAATGTTCAGAGGAGAGTAATTGGGTGAAATTGTGAAGGAATGTGATCATTGGGACAGTATCTTAAACTGGACCAATGCTTCGGGGGTAACACTGGGCCAATTGTAGTAGTGTTTGATGTGAAAATGAAGAATTTTTGCCTATAAGCTTGCCAAGTCAGCTGGAGAAATTGCTTGTTAAAGTACTTAAGAACAAGAGATTGAGTGATAAAAAAGCGACAGTGTTTCAGTATTTGCTTGCTAAAAAATGTAGTACACATACATTTTTAATGTTGGATTTCTCTTTCTTTAGTGTTGCAGTTTAATCAGGATGCACACATTATTAGCTAAAGCCACATAAAGGAGCGTTAATCACACTTCTAGGTCATGTCCTGGCGGGTTTGGCCACAAATGACAGATTTATGTCATCTGGTGGTTTGAATGCCATACACAGCAAAGAATTGAAGTCTCAGATTCTTTTCAGCTAAGTTACAGTCATCAGAAAGATAGGCACTATAAAGTTTCTTATGTATTTGACTGAAGCATGAACATGGGAAGAACAAATTTATTTTCTTTTTTTTTCTATGCCAATTTAATTCTTTTATAAAAGCCACACATTCCTGTAAATGTTAAGATTATTATCTTTTTTTGTCAAATGAAGAGGACAACTGTTTTTTAACTCAAGCTTACAGCACAAGCAATGGAGATCTCTGGCCTTGGTTACTAAGCAACAGCTCTTTTAATTTAGTTGTTTTGTTAACTTAAGACTAGTATTGATGCGGTGCAAGTCTCATATGGTTGATTTATGGACAATGTATTGAATATTTTTTCCTTTTTGAAAGAAATATTTAGATTTATTTGCATTGTGTTAATTGGTGAAGATAATTATGATTGTGAAATATGAGGTGCAATTTTGCTTGTTATTAAGATATTACTCATTTTTTGTTGTTATTTGATTATAGCCACAACTTTACAATACAAGACTGTTTACTTTCGTCCCTGTACATTTAAATGTATATCAAACTTTAAGTTTATCCTAACTGTGGTTACATTTATTTATACCATGGCAGATGTCGAAGACGAAAGATACAGATTTGGTAATAATTATCTCACATACAAGCATGTCATTCATGAGTGGGAGTTTTGTCTTGTGCCTGTATTATTTTTTTCTCGACATCTGCAGTAGTATACATGTAAGTCTGATACACCTTTCTTTAGCATCAATTGGAGGTGAATCTTATAGCCATTGGTGTTTATTGTAGACTCGATAGCACAGATGCCTCGCTGACTTGTGGTGTATCATTGCATAAAATGTATCTCCAAAGACAGCATGCTCACCTTCTCAGTCCTAGAGGCCTTAACTACTTCTTGTATAAATTGTCTTTAACAGTGTCTTTTGCAAATACTTGAATCATGATACTAAATGGGACCAATATTTTGAATTTTAATTGTATTGTGTGGTATTTAGAATATTGCTTACAATGTTTTTGTAAGACGGTGATTCGTTCATTGTTCAGAAGGAGAAATACATAGTTGAAACATTATGCCAAGTCTTGTTGATTTGTACATTTAAAAGTCATTGTCATGTTAAATTTATGATTCATAGCTGCTAAAAACTGAATCTAGGAGATGCCCTTTGGCAGTCTCTCCTCCGCCCACAGCAGACACATATCATGTTCAAATGTGTCAGAAATTTTGAATTTGCCCCCTTCAATGATATTTCTGATAATACAAACATAAAAGTGGAATATACATGTATATGTAATACCAATGTGTTCAATTCTCTCCCCCTCCCCCCATGACTAGGGGTTATGAATAATTTAATACAAATGTCTTTTTGATGGTTATGTATGGGTATTGTATGCAAAAATGTGTCATTTCTCTGTCATACCATCTAAGTTATGACCTTCATGAGCCTAAGGCATACCTGTTACATAAATAGCACCTCATGCGTGGGATGAAATCTTGCAAGAGTTGATAATAAGAACTATATCTCTTATGTTGTTCTCACCCCAGTTCAAGGTTAAGCCATGTTCAGACATGAGTTATTTTGGATGATGAAGTAGGTCAAACTTGTATCATCAGGCAACATAGAGAAATGTACCAGGCATTTCAGAATCTGACAGGAAATCTCCCCTTGTTGTCTACATTACACACAAACACATGCATGCCATTGCCTTTGTATGAAAAGAGAGAATGAATGCCAGCTAGACAGGGATAAATTTTCATTGGTACCCTGATCCCAGAGTGTACAGTAATTTACAGGAAATTTAAGCTGGGCCAGAATAAGTCACCCTTAGTCCCTTATGCTGGGTGGGGAAAAGTTACCATCAAGGGGAAGGGAATGGAAATTTTGTATTTTCAGGTTGTCTGTTCACAGAATGTATATTGATATTCAGTCTAAATAAGTTCTGTCTGAACTGGCCTATGGGTTCATGAGAAATTGCCCCAAAACAGGTTGATGTACGCTAAAGATGCTCAGCTATTGTCAGCATAAAAATTTTCAGTTTGAATTAATCCCTTCTATACTGGACTTTGATGTCATGGGAAATTGCTCCAAATAAGTTGACCATTGCAAGCCAACATTATACATTTTTAGTTTATATTGCCAATATAGCCAGAAGTTGTTTTAACAACTTTTTGTTTTAAAAAAGCTTTAAGTGGGTGGTTGTGGTGTTACATCGGTCATCTTGGAAGTCCTCCATTGCAAGTGGCTAAAGACCACATGATAAGTAAAGCATCAGCCTGATCTTCAGAAGTCATTACATGAATGAGGAAAATATTTTGACTACAAATGGTTTTGAAAGTGGGGATATTTTGACACTCTCATAAGGAATGTGTTTGAGGATAAAGCAAGTGATAGACAAAGATATGACAATGTTTGAGGAAAATGACAGACAAAATCCAGAAATCCAGAAAATTTTCAATTTTATAATTCTGGAAACTAGTAACCTGACAGGCAAGTACCGGGTACATACACTGTATGCAGAATGGAGAAGTTCATTGCTAATTCTCTGTGGTTTCTGCAATAATTGATATTTTTTATTCAAAATATATGTTAACGCTGCAGATACATGTACATCTGGGACTTATTTTTCAAAATTCACACAGTGCTTACACTGTTGACAGAATTTACTGTCATCTGTTGTGGTTTTATTAGTGATTATGTGATACAATGCATTTACCTCTGTCCTGCTAGCATTTGTGGTTATTGATTCAGCTAAAAGTCATACAAAGTTCAAGATTTACATTAATAAAGTATCTGTGTGCCTGTATGAATAACAGGCTTCTGGTTTGTATGTTTGACACATTATCTTACTTTGCTTTCTGTAATTAAACATTTTTTCACCTATCTTCCCAAAGTTCACGTGTACTCGCCAGTGCTTAGATGGTGTATAAAAAATATAGTATAAAAATATAAAAATATAGTAAGGACAGGCTAAGCATTATTATCACAAGTGAAGATATTTGGTAGACCAGTTCAAACTCTTCATGATTTGTAGCAATGAATATTGTATCCATCATTACATTTACACTGAGTGGGTTTTCACACCAATATTATGGCTGTGATATTCTCCCCTGAAATTTATATAGATTGAAAATAATCATAACCAGCATGAACATGTCATAAGTGAGGGCATGATTTCCCATCTGTTTAGTAGGTGATCTATAGATCATCTTTCTTATATTGATTTTCTTTTGCTACAGATTATCAGATAATACCCCAGTAATTTACTTGTTGATAGAGAGAGAGAGAGCTTATTTAAACCTAGCCTCAGTCAAGTTCTGAACTAATTGTGACAGACGAGATGAATGTGATGAAATGAAATATACAAGAATGCATGTCACATCTGTCACAACTAAAAGCAAGCATAACCATACTGGGTTGAAAATTGACGACTGACAGTGATTGGCAGTGCTGGGTAGTATTGGATGAAGGTACAGAGGAATTTCTACAATGGAGGACATGGACTTATGAGCACATAAAAAATGATAAATTCAATGCATAAAAAGCATTACTGTACTGTTGTTTTTAAATAAAGTTGTTTTTTTTTGGTTATTCAATATTTGTTGACACAAATTTATCACTGGTCTATTTCCATTAACACATACTACATGTAATGTAGCATATATTCTTTTTTATTTCAGTTTAAATTTTAAAAAAAATTTAGACAACGAAAAAGTCTTTCTAGTCCGAATTAAGAAAGTTAGTAAGTGATCTATAACTATCACTGAATGCAAGTATTACCTGCTTTAGTGTCAAAGTTTCTTTGTGGACAAAACAACAATAACACAATAATGATATCAAGTTACGTAAGCTACACTTCGTAATCATAAATTACTGGTTTCACACTCTCTCAAAAAGTTTTTCTTCCTTCAAATGACATCTTTAACCTTAAAAAGATGCCAGTGTCTTTCTATCACTGCAACACATTCAAGGGACCTGTTTGTGAGACACAGGATTAACTTGTAGTACATTATGAAACTGCTGCTTGTGAGTTTATCAGCAGCAGCAGACTAGGAATTAATTCCTTAATCCTGCAACACCAACAAGTCAAGTAAGGTCCCCATGATCCAGCAGATCGATGTTTAACCCTGAGGTATGTTATGTAGAAGAATTACATGTCAGTGGACAAAGGCGTGGTCCTTCATCACATAGTTTAAGTAATAGATAGACCCCGAGTCAGCGAGGGTTATGTGGCATACAAGAGTGCGTTATACACGTGTTATTTAGACCACGGGTCCATAAGCGGGATAAAATGCAGTTATCCGAGTTACACCACGTCCGAGTCTTTTGTTCTTCACTTCCACCGTGGTCTAAACATAATTTCATACATGGCTTGAAAGATAATTAAATTCTTCCTTCATTATCCTGCAGTTAAAGATCACATCGTATGTTGACAGTTAAAAGTTCAGACAGCAAGCAAAGGATCAATAAATAAGTTAAAAGAGAGATGCTTGATCAGCTGTTCTATGGAGCCAAAACTCTCATCATAGAATTAACATCTCAGAAGTAAACATTCTATCTTATTCTCCTAATAACCATTCCCTTAAATTTAAGAAAAAAAAAACAGGAAAACAGTGATTCCCAGTCTGAATAAATTATTCCATTTTGGATAGAGTCATTTGCCTTCATCTTCATCGTTTTTCAACTTTTTCTGATATTGGCTAAATTTAGCCTGGATCATTTCTGCCATCTGTGAAGGATCTGGAACACGTGGAATCTGAAAAAAAAAAAAAGAAATTAATTTAAATAAATAATTCTGATCATTAAAATCAAAGTAAACTGTCCATAGTAGTGAACCATATGTTGAATATTTGTGTACATGTATGTTAACATCTACATCAGTCTGAAACCAATCAACACATTTCCAAAGCTAAGAGAAAGAAGTACACTTAAAAAAATAAATAAATAAAATTACGGTAAGCTGGGTTGACTGGCAACACCTTGTTTTTTTCTTTCAATGAATCATTCATCCAGAAATTATACAGTAGGTATTCAGGGCACAGACTGTGATCACAAGATACCGCAAATAGATTTTTCATGTGAACGCAGCCTTACATGGTGCGGGGATTACTGCAAAAGTGCCAATAAAACACCTTTTCATCATGCATCTACTAGTATTAAATTAAACCTACCTGGTATCTTTGGTCTACGAAGATCCCTGCATATATTCCAAAAGCAAATATCACCTGCATAAGCAAAATATTAAAATTATCAAATAAGAAAAGACGGCTAGAGTCGAAAAAAATGAGAAAGAAATTTTCAAGCTCACAAAGTGAAAATGCTAAAAGCCAGGAAAGGGGGAGTATATAAGTGTTTATAAATTGCCTTGGATCTATCGACAGGATGATATTGAAGGAACATACTTTGAGGGTTAAGGAGGGTTCAACCTACTTACTATCCGGACATCGCGTCTGTGGTTGTGGTTGTGTGTGTGTGTGGTGGGTGGGTGGGGTGGGGGGGGGTTACTCCAAGGGTTACTCCAAAGTTGTTTCATGACGACTCAACTCTCAGATTATAACCGATGCCGATGGTCATTTGTAAGAAAGGCATAACTGTGATGAACTTTAAACAATTGTAGACTTGCGTGAATCTAAAAGAAAAAATAAAATAGCTAGCTGTGCTTACCATACTTTTCACAATCGATTTCATACTTTTGTATGAGAAATGATGGGTTTTCACTTTGAATGACCTTCACCCCTAGTCCTTATATTCAGCCAATCAAATTCTTTAAAAAATTCCACTTCGTACAACGAATATGCAATGGCGGACTTTCGAACGTGAGTAGTCTTGAAAAATAAATAAAAAGCTGTGTCGATATAGAAAAATGGCAAATGTGGGATTCACTTTGAGTGTTAAAGGAACATTAAGAGCAATCTTGTAATGTTGAATACTGAAATATATCGGCCACAGCAGAGTGGTAAGGGATAAAACATCGTTGTGATTGGTGACGACTGACGTTTGATAGTTTGAATGAGACCAACTGTTTACAATTTATTTCATTTTGTTTTTAGTGCATTGTGATCGGTGTGATTGGACTGTTTAGCGTAGAATGTAATATTAATGTCATTGTGATATGATTTAAATTGATAGTAGATTAAATTTTGTGTGGGAGACGGGAGAATGTTAATTGTAGATCTGAAAATGGGGCATATGATGCATGGGAATATGCAGAAGTAGGCCCGTCATTTGCTCCAGATCCACACTTGAATTTCAGCATACCTTAATAGTACACGTGAATGCAGATATCACCACATCACTTAAAGACAAAAATCTTTGAAGTCCTTACCTGTGACTGCAAGCCTGCACCTGATAAAAAGAGAGGCCAAATCAAAGATAAATTAACACCATGATAAATTTTAAACATTAATTAACATCTGCCCAACCTCAAGTGATATTGTTCCATAGTAAAGACGCACATGATATTCAACTGAGCATGTGTGGTGACTTGTCTCCATTGCAGTTTGTACAGTAATTATTTTTATTTTCAGAATGATTGTATTGTTTCATGAACTCCATGTACTCTAAGCCATGGCAGGTCAGCTAAGTCCTGAGTTTGATACAGAGGTGACCCTCGTGGCAGAGGATGGGCGTAAGAGTACTATTGATGAAAGGACCCTGTATTGTACACCTCCACCTCTGGCGGCCTCCACTGTGGCCAGGAATGAAAGACCAGTCAAGTAGGTTTAATGTCCAGTTAGGAAAAGTGTAAAAAGTGGATGTATTTTGCATAGTTTTGTTTGAGATAATACACTGTCAACCGAGCTGTCAAGGCAATCTCTCTCTCTCTCTCTCTCTCATTCTCATTCTCTCTCTCATTCATTCTCTTTCATTCTCTCACTCAGTTGTGAATTTTTAATATATTTCATTTTATTATCATTTTCTCTCCAGAACTACTCTGCCGAATAACATGCAAGGATCCTTCTTAGAGGTCTCCGAACCCAACGTGTCTCCAATGTTCCAATTATCCTCCCAGGGTAATGTAGATCTCATTAAGTTCTCAGCCAGTAGCCTTGAAAAGGGCGATTCTACCACACAGAACCAGCCTGGAGGTGCCAAAAACAGTGTCTTGGGCACTGATAGTGTTCAGGCAAGAGGGAATGAGATAAGCCAAAGAGGTCTTCAGAAGTGGGACCAAAGAAACAGTTTGGGTGACGATGGGAGAACAACAGGCTTGCAGAACCATGGTCCCCGTGATAATAATCAGAGCCAACCAAAAGACGACCATGAAAAGTGGGAGTATAGTTTACAGAATGGCCACCAGGAGGCCAAAAGGAGCAGCCAGGAACCAATTGAGCAAGAAAGGGCCCAGTCAAATTCTGAAGTATTGGAAGATGGTGATACTGGTAGCAGGTAACTTAGGTTTTGAACATGGTTTCCTTACTTGACAGTTTAACCAGTGACTGAGTCTGTTACTGTACGTACATTGTGAGGTCCAGAAGCCACAGTTTGATGTTAGACTGGTCAGTAGTGACACATGCTAAGTATTCATGTAATATTTGTACCAGTATATTTTATTGCAATTGTTATCATGAAAACCTAAATCACTCCGGAAGAAAACACATTTTCAACTCATGTGATTCCTTGAGAAAAATGATGTTTACCTAATTATGTTGTTTTCAGATTAAGATTTATACAGAAAAATACTTTATTTGATGTTTTACTTATGTTTGCAGAAAAGTAGATCTTTCCCAAGTCCAAAATGTTGCAGACTTGTTGGGGAACCTGAACACTTCAGTGAGGTCTTCTCTAGGAATTCTGTCTCTGGATGCAATACCAGGTATATTTGCTCTACCAAATCTCTGATATTCAAGTACACTATCGATATTTTCATTTTCAAATTTAAAGGAAATCCACAGCCAAAAATGAGTCATTTATGACATTAATGTTGTCTTATAGCAGGGTTGGAAACTCCTCCTAAAATTCAACCAGACAGCAGGACAGGTTACTCTTGAAAGTTACCCGTCCTACCATAAACCAACCTGTCCTCATAAAATCGAGAGAATTATGATAATACAGTGCATGTATGACTAAATTTAATAATTCAAGACATTTTTGAATGTTGTTTTCTTTCAAACTTCATAAATAAAACTCATAATACCAGTGCTGTCTTGATACCAAAGAATCAAATTTATTTTTATATTCAGTTATGGTCTGTCCCCCCCCCCCCCACCCCCCACCCACCCATACATCATGGATTGCAAAAAAAAAAAAAAATAATAATAATAATAAAATAAATAAATAAAATAAAATAAATATATATATGCACCTTGCCAAATATCTATTAAAACAAAATTATAGCAAAACCATTTGACAGAAACAAAATGCACCACAGCCAATACAGTCAGTACTGAAGAACAATTTTTTAAATTTAACTGAAGTATCTACATCACTGCAAATTTTCATGAAAGGAGCATTAAAATTCAAAACTGAACTATCAAATCATTGGCATGGTAAGCAGTAGCAGCTTGCAAGTAAAACAGTATCAGTTTGGTGAATGAAATTGATGAATGTCAACTGCAAGTCAGTGCCTGTCCTGGTATATGAAAACCTCACTTGACCAAAGATCAAGTCATTCTGTTTGAATCTTCAAAATGTTAATTGAAAAAAACCTGCATTTACTCATGAGATTTTTGCTAAATGAATTCCTTTAATCGTCTCCACCAGATTCACTGTAGTCATTATCATCCCTCTATTCCATATCTGAAAATCTGACTCGAAGCCCGAGTCAATAGATTTTGATGGTTGCTCACTTGGCACCTGAACGCTGGTGCCCTCCCTTTTACCCTTCTCCACATCAACAATAATCTCCTCAAAGTGGTCAACGGCAGATTTGGGCTTGCATCTTTCCATGAAAGTTGGCCTTCTTGCCCCAGTGCTCCACTGAGTTATTGCTGGTTTGGGGACAAGTTCTTGAATTGTGCTTGAATGTAGCTGGATTGACATTAGCAGAATCATAGATTATGCTTTCAACTTGTTTTTATATCGATTCTTGATTATTTTCAACTGGGAAAACCCACGTTCACACTCTGCTGTATCAGCAAGTGTGAAAAAAAAGCATACGTTTGGATTTCCTTCATCATAAGGCATTTTAACTAGTACTATACAAAAACTTTTTTCAGTATTTAATAAAAATCTTTCTCCAATAAATTTACTGCATATTTTACCTGACTTAAATGGGTTACAAATGCGTGGTGACATTGGTAATATGATAAAGAAGACAATGTGGCAAACTAATGTAGCGTACATTTGAACTTATACGTCTTTAGAAGCACCGACATGCAACGAAAGTTTCTTGGCCTTCCTGAAAAAAATCATGAAAAGCGACCAGCGACGGAGGTCCGTAAAGACTACGACCAAAATAAGAGGCAGCGGACGATTGTTCCAAGTTGGAAAGTAGAGTTTAGTAGGCTGATATGTAACGAAAACCGTCAAATTTTATATCCGTTTATACCCGTTTATGGCCCGCTTTTGTCAAGGAAGAAATTTAACCGGTATAAAAATGGACCCTTCGTTTAAGGATGCAAAAATTTAAGGCATCGTGAATTTACGCTACATTAGCTCACCATATTGTCTTCTTTATCATATTACCGATGTTACCTTGCATTTGATTGGCTTATTGCAGCGAATCTTCCCGCGACAAAAGTCGAGAGTAAGTCATTTAATGACATATCACTGACCTATATTCCTATATTTGGAATGTTCACGTGACTTATTGGTTTATCGCAGTGAAATTTTCCCGCGGTAAAAGTCGGAAGTACTCGATGTAATGACGTATCATTGACCTATTTTCCTATATTCGGAATGCTCATATGATTTATATTGTAAACACTTATATATAAGTAAATGTGTGAATCTCAAAATCAAGAAAGACGCGATGTTTCACGCTCAGATCTACTGACGACTTCAAAGTGCGGCCCGACCACAGGACGGTCTCCAAATTAATTTTACCCGTCCTCCATGAAATTAGACCGTCAAGGACGTTGGGACGGGTGGTTATTTCCAACTCTGCTTATAGAAAATTGAATATAGGATAATGAAATAATTTTTTAAAAAATGAGCTTGTTTTGTCCTTTGACATTGTACAGATTTTATTTTTGGTAAAACGTTTTGAAGTTTTTCACACAGATTTCTTCTAATTGATGGCTTACTATATCATTTCAGACTTTTCCTCTGGTATAATTCATATGGATGAGGAGTTTCCAGAGATGCTTCAATATCAGAATGATGATAATAGAGGTAAATTTATGTCATATACTTATCAGTTTTTTTATTGACTCAGTGTTAAAGTTCAAACAAATGTTCCAGTAGCAAGTTAAAAACCAAGAATTATGGGAGTATGAAAAGAGAATTAAAATAAACTCCGAGCCATAAAATATGTGAAGCTGTGGATATGCATAATGCAGCAAAGAAAGAAATGTGCTCACATATCATAGGGTTCGAGGTGGAGAATGTAAACTAAATTTTTCATTACTTATTAATTATTACCAGATTGGCCTGTCAAATGAAAATGTGATATACTTGTAAATATATTTTAGACCTCTTGTTTTATTCTTAACTTGGGCATTGTTGATGGGTTCAAATTTAAAGTTCTTTGAATTTTTGCTTTTAACTGAAATTTGTATACAGGAGCAGATGGGTCCTCACTTAAAGCAATCTCACCCATCTGTGAGGCATTAGTGCAGGCTAATTGAAATTTAATTGAATATGATTAGATGGAAATAAGGACAGGCAATAAAAGCTATTTTTGTTCAACAGAAGAACTTTACATTGTATTGGTATTTGGTAGAAATTTGCATGACAGAAAATCAATAGAACAAAAATTACTTAAATAAAAAAGTTAAAGTATTTCAAGTATTAAAAAAGAGTGAAAATTGTTTAAGGTTTCACCAAAAACCTTCAGCCATTACCCTTAGCCTTGACATATCATGCTCAGCCTTGCATATCTTTCATATTGTAGAGTCTTGGGGTAAAGTAGATGCCATGTTCCTGCGTGCCAGTCCGCGGCTCCCTGAGGGAGGTGACGGGGAGGAGGATGGACCAGAAAGCAGAGCCAGATTAAGCCAGATGTCGGACATCTTTACTGGGCAGGGTGAGATGAGACAACAGTATATAATAGGCAGCTTTAACAGACATGCTGAAACTGTCGGTCCGATCGGTCATGACCGACAAAATTTGTCTGGACTGGTAAAATATTGGACTGGAGTTTTAAGAACCACAACTTTGAATTTACAGTAATCATTCGACATGCTTCACTAATAAAATTATATAAAACCCAAAGCGTTTTTCCCTTCCATTTTAAACTGATCACATTCACAAACAAAGTAAGCTACCTAATTGTAGTATACATCTCAAACGGATAGGGTGATTTTGGGTCTGGGAAAAATCCATTAGGTCTGGCAAATTTTTCATTATTGCTGGACCTAATGTCCGCTCATTTTGAAAAGTTTTCAGCATGTCTGCTTTAATACACGATAACACAGAATAGATTTGAAATTCACTGTCAGTTCCTGTAACAGGATATCAGAAAAAAAAAAGGATTCATGGCAATGAATGACATATTTTTGACATTTTATAGTCCTTTTGTTTAACTCAGCAGAATATCAGAAACCCTGTGATATAACTGAATCTGTTACACTTTAACTTAAAAGCAATTTTGATTTGAAGGTAGCATTAACACAGATTTGTTGCCAAGAATATTGTAACGTAAAAATTTTCATTGCAGTTGTGCCTCTTCCACTGTTATTGGTATCTAATGTATTATCTATTGTGGTACCCAACTAGGTCTTTTAGGCACCAGGCATTGTATACTTAGTGTATTTACTGTTTTCTGTTTCAGCTACTTCCCAAGGCATCCCTGCAGATACCAGGCACAGAGGGAGTGGTATTGACACTCAGAGCAGTGGCAGTGAGATGGACACGGAGGATGAACTGCAGGCTGTGAGAGAGGTGACACTACCTGTGCAGCTTGTCTTGGTTATGCCTTCTGACACTGCTGACATCTGTTGGACAATATTCTTTTGAAAGTTTTTAAGATGAAGGCAACAAGACCTTGTAGTAAACCTAAAGATGATTATTTGAAATCAGAAAAAGTAGTTTTAGTGAGTGGCTATTTCAGCACATATATTTTGTTACTCATTTTCCTTTTTCTTAATCATATTAGCTGTTTATATCTCATGAAATAGAATGGAAAGGTAATATCACATTGTTTTTCAACTGAATTAATAAGAACCCAAGTCTAATGTTGTTTTTACACTTATTTCAGAGTGCTAAGAGGCATTTGTATCAGAGAAAGCACCCCCATGGTGACGGTCAAGACAGTGGGAATGGGAGGTCTTCTAGGCCAGGTGAGTACTATTAACTTCTTTACCTGAATATCAGTCCTAATCCTTTTATGTTTCTGCCCAGGTGTTAGGCGGGCAATCTTATGTGTTCTAATCTTTATATATATATTTTTTTTTCACATATAAAACTAATGATAATTAGTTTTTTTAAAATAAAATAAATTTTTGGCCATTATGATGATTCAGACCTAACTGAATTGTTAAAATTATTTGATGATCTACTAATGCAAATTTATTTAACAAACTTACAAGTATAAAATATGAGAGACAACATTTCTTATTCATCAAGCGTGAGTTCTGTAGGTTACTAATTAATCTGTACTCACATTTGTTGCAACAAAGACAAAGTCACAACCTAATGATGAGGACTTTTGCATGCCATTTTTGATTCAGCCACGCAGTAACATCAGTTATGGTCTCTTTTTCTCAGGGTTGGAAGGTGGTAGCACAGATGATGAAGTTGACACGGCAACCAGGATGGACACAAGGCAGGCGGCCGAGGGAGATGTGGTCACATCCCCTGTCCCTGGGGATGGGGGCGGTGGAGGGGATGGCAGTAGCGGAAGGTCAGTTCAAGGTCAAACTTTTTTTGTGGAAACAATTATGTTAGGGTTGCAGTATCGTAGTAGCTTTTTAAATGTGTAGTTTTGTTTGTTGTTGATTGTGCCTAAAGATAGGGAGAAAATTAGTTGTGAAAAAAGAAAAATTCAAAAGTGAGAAGACATGGCAAACTTGTTACTGAATTCAAGATATTTTAAAGAGAAAAACAATGTTTTTTTTTGTCAGAAAACCAGGAATTGTATTTATAATAGAAGATAAATGATGTCTATTTCTTGTGATGTTTGACTCATACTTACATAGATTGTGTCGTTAAATTTATGAAGTGAAAATACCATATCAATACAGACATTTGATTTTAAAAATGTTTTTTTGTTGTCAAAAATATTAGCAAAGATTATATGCAACAAAATTTCTTTAATTTTCTTGTTATTGATGATATTAATGTTTCAAAAAGGTAAAAATACCTGCTTTCAAAATGAAATAAATAAAAATAAAGGACTCCTTCCTCTCACCAGTGAAATGGACACCCCACTATCTGGATCCAGCCACTCAGCTGCCGCCATGTCAGGTCAGGGTCAGACCACATCGGACTTCCTTCGAGGTCTTGGACTCTTCAACCAGCAGCGTAGGTCAAGGTCATTTGAGGAGGATGACCCCGCAGCCCAGGCGAGGATCAGACCAATGGGCGATGATCTTTTGTCGGAAATCTCCCACCACCAACAGACTGTGAGGTTTCAGAGCCAGGATCAGGTGTGGATGATGTCTGATGCCTCCCATAACCAACACTCTCAGGTGCAAAATGATTAAATTATTATTATTATTATTATTATCATCATTTTGGGATAATAATTACATATCGTAAAACTTGTAGCTATGGTGACAAATGCAGTGAGACATATATATAAAATACATTTTAAAGTATTCTGTGGTAAAGAAACTGATCTGACAGTTAGTACTATATATATATTTTAAGGTTGCCCTGTATTTATAAATACAATATAAATATTCTAGGATGAAGACATGAGTGAGGAGTCCAGGTTAGCCTCCCAGTTTCTCCAGCCAGAGGGTGGGGGAGACGGGCGCTCCTCAGCCACCAGTATGCTCAGCCAGGGAACCACACTGCCCTTAGAACAGAGCTCCTTCCACCCTGCAGACCTTCTGCCAGGTCTGAGGTCTGCTGCTAGTACCCTGACACACAGCCAGGGGGCAGCACTGGAGCAGAGTTCGTTCCATCCTGCTGACTATCTGCCAGGACTGAGGTCTGGCGTTAGTACCTTGACGCACAACGAGGGAGAGGCGGGGCTTGATCAGAGTTCTTTTCATACTGGGGACGTGATTGGTGGGATGAGTGATGACAGTGACAGACAACAGGTATGATACCTGTGGCTTCAGCCCAGCATCTGTGCTCATGTTGGCATGTGAAATTTTGCTTCAAATACTAAAGATGATGTAATAATGACAAAAGCTATTTTACATTACACGCAGTAATATTTACAACAAATCACTTTAGCCACCAGGGCAGGATATTACACAATTACATATGAGTGCATTTTTTTGTCCAGTTTGATACTGTACTTCATAAATCATGCCATTTAGCAAGTTACTCAAGGAGCCCCCTGATTAACTAACATTGTGTTTTACAGAGAGGTTCCTCTAGACAGAGTGACCTGAGTCGACCCTCTCCTACCCAGCACCATTTCTTCAATGAGGAGGGAGAAGGGCAACCACCTGTTGGTCCACATGAATATAAACAGAAAGGGGAAATCCAAACGGGAGGTGCTAAAGGTATGAAAGGATTAAGTACACTTGCAGAATATATAACAGGTGCAGTTAGTGCTTTAAACTTTTCAGCTTCCTGGCCTGAATCAGAATATACTGTGCCAAATTAAATTTTTAATAATACTGGAATTTATTGGCCACAGTTGTAGCAAACATCTCACACTGCAGGTGTGTCTAAAAAGTAACTGGTGCCACAAACAATCTATTTTCATTCCAAACAACAAGGTATTACCTTGAAAGGGTAACCACGTAGCTTGGTGCTTGAATTATATGAGTGTAATGCACTATTCTTCCCTTCTTTGCCACAAGGCATAAACAAATATTTACTCATAATTTATAAACAAACATGGGATAACTAGTTATATCTTCTTTTCAAAGGAAACAACCCTACAGCAGGTGAAAATGTCTTTGAAGATGGAGATGAAACCATGGCTGACTCTGTTGTCCACATATCCTTCACGGAGGAGGAATTGAATGGTTTAGATGGGTTTGATGGCCTCATGGACAGTTTTGACGACGGGGAATTTTTCAGCGGAGGTGAACATTCTTCTCTTGTTTAGCATGTTTTGTTTTTCCCCCAAGACAAACTTTTTCATCAGTTTGATAGTGAACTGTCTAAAAATTTTCCTTTTTTTCCTTTTCTTGTTTTGAACTATAAGTTTTGCATTGAATGCAAAGTAATTAGAAATATATACCTTACATGACAATTTTTACATTTCAGATAATGCTCAAGCTATACTGGACGACGATGAAGCTGCCTTTGAAGAAGAACACAAGTTTGATGAGGTACAAGTCAGTACTATTTTCCTTCTTAATATTTTGCAAATATATCACAAAAGGTGAATTGTTTTTGATTAACAGGAGCTCTGTGTGGGTTTTGAAGAAGAAGACTTTTTGGTAATGAAAGTGAACAAAGTTTCTAATTTTATTTTGTGCTCAGCATATTAAAAAAATTTCTGGGCTTAGATTTAAAGAAACCAGATATAAGCCTCTTAATTTATTACTTGTATTTTTTTTTCAATTTTCTTTCGTGACTCTTATGTCTTCCATAACAACCAATCTCATTCCTCCAGGTTGCAGATAATGTGGCAGATCATACCCCACATGTAGCAGACTCTTCCTGGATGCTGCCACACGGGGATGTTACTTTCTCCGCCATGGTGTCCCATGATGGCAGAGACAGGTCACATGATCAGTCACATGGCAAGGTGTCATTTGGTCAGTTTATAGGGACCAGAACAGAGGCACTGGGGACACTGGAGGGGGATGGCCTGGTGCCAAGAGTAAGTCTGAAGATATGCGATATGTATGATATATGAGAGAAGAGCATTACTTGTCCTTTTTATATATATTTTAACAGTAAGATTGTTCACGGTTCCAAGAGATTGCATTTATTAACATTGTTGTAAAAGTAGTCATTTCCTTTGTGAAAAGATTGAAACATAGCTGTTTCACATCTATTTTTGTTTCAAAGTGTCCTATATAGTTTTGCCAGTTGATAGTTAAAGATAAATAAACAGTAATTATCCATTTAAATGTTCACAAATAGTGTCTGTGTAAGAAGCTGCCCCTGAAGCAAGGGCCAGAGAAATAGATTACAGAGAGACAACCAACATAAAGGTGCATCTCCAGATGTTGAAAAAAGCTAAGGGCTTTACACTTGCAATTGCTGACAGTGCAGTCACACCAAACACAATTTACAATATTTTCAGCCTGCAATGAATTCCATTGTGTTGCAGTCACACCTAACACAATACACAATCTTTTCAGCCCACATTTGGCACTGACTTTGTTACTCCTCCCAGTGACAGGAAGCCAGTGGCACTTCTTGCTGATATTGAGGAGAGGGACTCTGAGCAGGATGTGTCTATCAAAGAGAACAGGATTCCTCATCTAGGTATGTTTAAATTACCTGCCAGAAAGAAAAAGTTTGAATTCGTATGTATGATTTCTACGCTGAGAATGAACTAAATTTAACACTTGCCTGTTATCTTTAGGTCATTGGATGAATTTTTCTGGATGAATACTTAATTTTGATACATGTGAATGTTTTTATGTGAAGAGCATCCCTGAGATAGTTTACTTTCCTGAATTTTTATGTTCATATTATGAGGTTTTTTAGTATAAATGATGATTAAAATATACAGATCTAATAAAAGTTACAAACCCATTGTGACTATACATTTTACTTGACAATATTATTAATAAAAGTTTATAATAGTAAGTGTGTGGGTATGCATGTTGGTGTGTGTAAATATGTGAAGAAAGCTTGACTGTTTTGAAAGATATATTTTCTGCTGATAATCTGCCTGTTATTGTTTTAGACCTCAATGACAGCAGAGAGATGCTAGGAGCCACAGAGGGAATCCAGACTGCTTACTTCAAGCCAGCAGCAGCTAAAACCAATAAGTCTGTGACAGCAGAGGAAACCGATGGAGACCAGACTTTAACAGCCTCACCGAGTCCCCCAAGACTGCAGCAGCAGGGCCCCATTGCGGGAAGTCCCCTCACCAAGCTAGGGACCTATAGTAAATCTGGAGTGGACAGAACACTCACAGAATCCCTCTCCTCTTCTAAAGGACTGAGAGACAGCAACATTGTCGCAATGACTGAAAACAGACAGAGTCCTCTATGGAAGAAGGAGAGGCTTACAGGAGAAAGGCTTCAGACGCAGACAACTGTGTTTGGGCAAGAAAAAAGTAGGGATGGACATAATGTTAGGATGGAAACATCCTCAAAACTTCCACAAGTATCAGATGGCGTGGGGTCTCCCAAGGGAGGAGGCACTCCAACAAGATCTGCTATACCTCGTCTGGTGCAGCAGAGCGGTGCTGCTAAGAAATCTGTGGGGGATACCACTAATTCAAGATCAAGAAATATGGGGCAAGCTGGTGGTAAAATTACCCCTGATCACCGTGATTCTTACCCAGTTAAACAAAAGGAGGAAAATAGCAGGGTATTAGCTGGGTCTTCCTCTCCTAGCAGAATTGATGATAAGCCTAAGACTTCAGTCAGTTGTACAAAGAAACCAGAGAAGAATTACAATTCTCATGCAGAACAGAGCATGAAAAATTATCATAATTATAGTGTTTCTAAGTCATCTGAGCCTGGCTCAAAAGTGACTCTTGTGCCTTCAGACAAAAGACCAGCTAGTCCACGTAGGTATCAACAAGATGACCACAGAAAAATGGCTGGTAAATCACGAATTTTGGAAAAGGATAGTGTTATGTCGTCCTCAGAATCTGACAGCACAGGGAGAGAAGAAAGACAAAAGAAACAGTATAGTTCACCAAGAAGGCACAAGGTGGCATTAGAATCTCCCAGAGTCAAGAAAACCCAGTTTGCCATAGGCAGCAGCAGCAGTAGTGTCAACAGCACCGAGGAGCAGAACAATGGCTCGTCACCTGACACAGACAATGACAATGTTAGCACAGTCAGTGAAACAGATTCATTTCACGATAGCCAAAGTGATGCTGAGTCTGTCCATAGCATTTTAGAAGAGGTTTCAATGAGAGTTCAGCCAGGAGCAGGCATTCCAGATGAAACCACTTTTCTGGACCAGACAGGTGCAGTTAACATCAGTGCCATCAGTAAGTATATTGCCTCACTCTCAATGTCAGCCCCAATGGATGACATAGCAGAGAAAGTTCTTAAGCTTTCCCACAAACAGAGACAAGAAAAACCTAAGCCTCAGATGCGACAGACTGAATCACGGCCACCGCCTCCTGGTGTCAACAGAGACACAGCTCCCCCTGGTGTCCACAAAATGTCAAAAGGTCAGGCAGTAAAAATGGAAAGACAGACACCTCCTGTCAATGTTGTAGAATTTTCTAAACCTTCACAATCTTCTGTGAGAGACAGAAAAGGCACTCCTGTATCATTAGATGCCAGTTCTGTCTATTCCACATCCAGTACCTCAATGGGCTACTATAATGAAAGAGGGTCTAGGCCCCCGCCACCTGGGGACACCACTGGTCAGCATCATAATGTGCCTTCATCTTCCCAAGGTAGCAGCAGTGCTGGAACTCTTGTGTCAAAACCTTCTGTTGCCCCTACCAGGGAGGTCAGAACTCCACCTGTAGGTGTCACCTCTGAACAGGATGGCCCAGCAACAACCAGATCACTGCAGTTGGAGAGGCCCAGTCAGAGTAGACGAACTACTTCGAAAAATACATCCTTATCAGAAAAATCTTTTCAGCATGATAACAAACAAAAAGGGCCTGTACCCGTCACTGGAAGGTCACCACCAGGGGTCAGTTTCAAGAGGTCATCACAAGAGGTTAGTGAGAGGTCACCACCAGGGTTCAGGAGTGGAAGGTCATTGGCAGAGACCAATGGTAGGTCACCACCTGGGATCAGCACTGGTCACCTGGGATCACCGACAGGGGTCAGCACTGGAAGGTCACCAACAGGGGTCAGCACTGGAGGGTCACCAACAGGGCTCAGCACCAGAGAGTCACCATTGTTAAGAACTTCCACAGATTACAGCAGCAATGAAAGAAAAACTTCACCAAAACCAGGTAGTTTAGAGACCTCATCATCTCCCAGTCTGTCTCCAAGGCAAGATCATGCAACATTTAAAGAAAACAATGTCATACATGGTGGCAGGAGAGAACCAAAAATTTTCAGTGAGACTTATGATACTTATACTATACCTTCGTCTGTTGTGAAGCAACTAGACTACAGGGAAAGAGAGCCCCCTAGTGGCATTTTCTCTGACACTGGTGACAAAGCACCTTTGATGTCTCAAGATTTTGCAGAGACCGCCTCACAAGCCACAAGTATATGGGGAAGTATAGAGGAATATGAGCGACGTGGAAGGGAATCTCCTCCCTACAACCAAACCAGGGATTCACATTCCACAGTCAGCACTTCTTCTGTCAACAGTAGTTTGGATAGGCAAAGGGAGGGAAGCTCAAGACACCCTCATGGTATGGCAGACATCCCACTTCCAACTTCACAAGCATTTGGAACAGAGCATGGTAGAAACGATTCCAGTTCTACTTCCAGTGTATTAAGGTCCTCCATGGATCAGCAGTATAGATCTCACCCACAAGGGGGCAGCAGTGTACATTCCTGGCAACCACAGGCATCAGATGCAAACAGACCTGCATTTACAATGAATTCACAAACTCCTGCTGGTATTTCTCATATGAGAGAGGCAACTTGGGGGTCAGAAAATCTCCAGTATGCTGACAGTAGGCAGGCCATGTCCATTCCAGCAGATTTCCGACCACAGGCAAGATCGGAACCCGTAGGGGTCAGCAGTATTCCCCCTGTGAGTGCCTTGTTTCAAGAAAATGTAGCCCAGACATTTGTGACACCAAGCAGTATGCATAATTTGTTTGCCACAACCACAGTACCTAGTGGGTATCAAGTTCCCAGAGACAGGCAGGGTGAGGTTTTATTTTATTTTTATTTTGATTTGATTTAGTTTTTCTAATTTTGGTATAACTAATTTATTTTGAAGCTTAAATTTGGAAAGTGTTTGGTCAAATACCTGATTACAGCCTGCAGAGTCAATTCTGTGACATGACCCTCATCAAATGTCAGTAAAATTTTAATGAATTTGTTTAATTATGGACGCATTATTTCAGAAGATTCTCAGAACCTGGTGGTCTGAAGGACCAGCAGGCTTCAAAGTCATTGCCAAAGACTGAGTTTATATAAATTTTTTTCCCGATTCCAGCCCAGTCCTATCTGTCCAGTACACATGGCTATCAGCTCCCCCCTAGTATACACACCCCAGGGGAACTCCGCCTCCCCGGGGTCTGCTGTGTGGGACTCTCCTCAAGAACAGAGTTGACCCTCCACAACCCAACTGACCGATGGGTCCAGTGTGGTCTGGAGCTGACCAGCATCACTGTGAATGGCCAAGTCTTGGACACCGTCCTTAACAACCCGTTTGTCTTCAAGAAACTGAAAGTGATTGTGGAGCCGAGGACTACGGAAAGGATTGCGCTGGTTTTTGCACCCAAGTACCCTGGAGTATATGTTGGTCAGTTGAATATTGTGACCAGTCCAGTTGTGAGTGACCAGCCACTTCGGACATCAGGCTTGCCCTCTATGGTGACCATACAGGCAATGGCTGAGGAACCCAATATACAGGTACTAACAGTAGAGTAATACAGGGGCCGGTTTCACAAAGCAGTAGTTAGTTAGAACAACTAACTACTGAACTACCTCGCTAACGAGCAAACTTTTTTTTTCGAGGGGTGTTTCACGAAGCAGTCGTTAACTCATCGCTAAGTTCAGTCGTAAAGTTCGGTCGTTAGTTCTCTCGTTACTCACCGTAGTCTCGAAACCGTCTGCCGGAAGTGGAACTCTTGCGTAAAAGTGTCACGAAAGCACTAACTCTCCAATTTTTGGTGGCTGGAAATGCATAAGAACGTCTGCTTTGAGGTCGTCGTAAAGGATCTCCACCAACTTTTTGCCGCTCTTTTTGTCACAGCTAGGCGCAACCTCTCGTAAATTGCATCATCGTGTGTATATTCTAATAGATTCTGCCTTTCATGAAAACGTCGTAGTCTACGTTGCCGTCTGGCGGTACGGATAGCAAGAAAAGTAGCCGCCATATTGGATAAAAAGACAAACGACAGACAACGGTAACTAAGCAACCTTTTTATTTCACTCATTACGCATGCGTACGATGAAACTCTAGAGTTAGCGACTGATCTGACCAGTCGTTAAATATCCAAGGCAACAACGAGACAATAACGAGCGAGAGAACTAGCGACTGCTTCGTGAAACGGCACTATAACTAGCGAGAGGCTAACTACCGATCGCTAACTAACTACTGCTTTGTGAAACCGGCCCCAGATCTTAAATAGTTATATGGATACATACTGTGCTTGTGATGGATATACATTTTTTTTGTAATTTACACAATTCAGGGCTCGACATTAGCGCCTGTCCGCCTGTCCGGGACAGGTAAAAATTCAGTTCGGACAGGTGAAGTTGCAGGGTTGGCTGTCCGACGGACAGGTCATGTTTTATGAGAAATTTGGATCAAAAATCTTTAAAAAATCATTTTTTGTTGCATACTAACGTCTTTTTGCCTCTTCCTAGACAACATTGAAAAGAGTGACCTACTTTTGGCACAAAACACATGCAGTCGCAAAACGAAGTCTGAGCAAACTTACCGCCAAATTATGAAAGTGAACACCCTCCAGAACTTCATCAGACAAAATTTATTCACATATCAGGTTCACTACTGAACATTTATTTAGTTAAAATCTACGTGCTCTAGTAATAAAGACACTTCCAAAAACAGAAACTACACAAGTAC